CGGGTAACGTCAGAAGGCACATCCAGGACCTTCCTCGATCCCTGAAAGGCTGGGACTGAGGCGACATCTCACGCAACAGCGAATCTGGAGCCTACCTGGAACTCTCAACGACAATACTCTATTATTGATGTGGTCAAGAGAGGGGAAGCCCTCAATATGACCTACAACCCTCCTCACACACATGACTTCTCCGCCCCACTGTTCATCCCTCCACCTACCCCACATACTATATAATAATGTAATGGATACCCCTCGAAATAGAGGATGACCGGTGTTACGTTTTAAATGCAAGAAAGTGGTTTTCTTACCGTAGAACTCAGATACCTTCACACTGATTTCTCACCCAGGAGATTATGGTGTATCACTACGTAGAATTTCACTCTACTTTCGGCATTCAATGCGTTGTGTACTTGATAAATGATGATTTAATGAATTCCATTAACTTCCAACATCCATCTAAGTTATTGGTTAACTTTGTCATAACCAATCAGTCATTACCTTTGGTAATAATAATAATAGAGGGGTCACAGGTACGGGCAGATAATTGCACTTACGTTTATTTGGCACAATTCCATACACTGGACTTAAAATTTGCTTGGATAGGTCAGTCACTCACATTCGCGCCACAGTACCGTAAGTTATAAGGGAGTTTGTCAACCTGGAGAATTAATCGTAGATCTATTAGGCCGGCCTGGAGTGCTCTTGTAGCAAACAGGCCCTCACCAGTGATCACTTCCTTTACAGGGTGTGTTAACTTTTCGCTGGACTTAACAACAATCTCGGGAATTTGCACACACAGACTCGTAGCACCGGTCTCAGCAAACCTCTGCCCAGAGCACAGACTTAAAACGCCCATGAATTAACCTGCTTCAAAAGCTTCATTAACAAATGTACACAACCTATTATCCTACCTCCATTCTGTGTACTTTTTTAACTTTGTTTTAACCTTTCGCATTTACAACCCACTAGAGGTGGCCATGCCTCAGAAAGGAGGCCAGTGGTCTCTGTAGGATCCCTCCATTGCCCTTGATAATTTTGTCAAAAGGCTATTTTGAAGCCCGATAATGTTCTTGTTTCCACAGCTTGAGCTGGTAGACCGTTCCATAGGTCTACCACCCTCTGTGTGAAGAAGTATTTTCTAAGTTCGTTCTGCACGATAAGTTGGTGAGCTCGTAGTTATGCCTATCCTGCGCCAGCTTCACGCACAAAAGCTCCCCACACAAGTACGTATCACCCTGTATCACCCTGTCTGCAGTAGATTACTCGTCGACACCTGAACTTTACGCAACCGCGGCAGATAGAATATTCAACGAATACACTGCTGTGTGTCATGCTGCCGCAAACCACTCAGTGGTCACACCTCCACTTAGCCCCGGTTTCGTCAACCTGATCAACGCTCCTCAGAGAAGTAGCATTCCACCAGACAAGCAAGACATCAGGGACCTGTTGCAAACTTTGAACTGCAGGATGGACACCATTGAACAGCTCTGCTCCTCCATGCCTGCTTCTCCTGTTCCTGCCCCACGCACTGTGTCCTATCAACCCCAACACCCCCGTCCTGCCCCAGACCCCGCCGCCAGCCCCCAGCACAATGTACCTACCTTCTGTTGGTACCATCAACGTTTTGGCGCTAAAGCTAGACGCTGTGAGGCTCCCTGCAACTACACGGCGAAGCAACATCGACGGAGACTGGTAGGGGCCATAACCTCCGCCACTATCAAGCAGCACATCACACGCCTTACTTCTGACCTTGACCACTTCACTCCTGCTGCCCGTCACGACCTACTACAAACACTACATCAGGCAGTTTCTGCATTCAAGGCTACTGCCCCACGCCAGCCTTCCCACCGCCCTGAACACATTCATCCCTCACCTCCTCCGCCAGTCTACCCACCATTGCCACGTAGAGCACCACCTCGCCCTCAACATTTCTGCATACCCTCTCTTTATCCTCAGGTACCTACTGCTCCTGACGACCCCGCAGCCGGCCCTAATGACCCAGATACCCCACCCGGCCCCCCTCCACCTGCGGCGATAGAAGCACCACATTCCTCACCAGTACAACCTTCTCCTATCCACAACCCTCCTTCTCCCTCTGTTTCTCCCACAGATCTCGTGCCTCCAGACAGAGTCGTCTCCCGCAGCGGCCGAGTCGTCCACACCCCTGCCCGTTATGTCTCACATGTGAGATACAACCCTGCCAACAAGAAGTCTCCTGCAACGCCCGGAGGGAAGGGGGAGTATTGTAGTGGATCTCTCCCCTACAACTACATCCGCATTTCAATGAGACAGTATCCTAGCAACCAGCCAACTGCTCAGGGGGGGGGGTTCACCAGCTGCTACGTCTACCCTAGCAACGGAGTCAAGAAACCGGCGAGTTCCCACGGATTTACTTCCGGCTGCTGTGTATATAAGCTCAGTCTCTCAATTGAGATTCAAGACAAGAAAAAACCAGCAGAAAAGAAAAACCAAGAAAAGAAAACTCAAGAAAAGACACCCGCCACACAGAATCAAGAACACCACGAGGCCCGTGGAGCTGAAGCCCACGTGGTCAACCTCACCGTCTCCGACTTCTTCCACACCTATGAGGACTTAAGACACGAGGAAGACGAACAACAAGACCCAAACACGAATGAATGGACACTTCAAGAGAGCAAGAAGAGGAGGAGAGTTAGAAGAAAATCTACATCAAGCTAAGAAGAATACCAAGACAGAAGACCAAGACATTTCCTCCACACAAGAAAACAACACACACAATCAAGCCGACCAAGCACTGAGAACCCATGGCCCAACCCAACACGCACCTGACGCTTGACCTGACGCTGGCCTGACTCTGTCCTGTCGCCTCCAGGCCGCGTCCGGGCGAGTTGCTGCTGCCTCCAACTTATACTCCCTCACGCAAACGGTGTTTAGCCACTGCGCCTATTCTCTCCTCCTAAAATTCATTTCAATCCTCCCTTTATTCTTCCCCTGAACCTCCTTCCCCCTGTCACTAGCATTTCATGTCATTGAGATTAATTCTACCCTACGTTCCTGAACACGCAACATCTCCTCTAACGAAGCTCCTGCACAGATACCCCCTCAAGCACGCTACTCACTGAACGTGTCTTCTGAGCAAGCTTCTCGCCACACGGCATCTCCAGCACCAAACTGTCTTTCATATAATATATTTTATATAAGAAAACCACCACCTTAGAGTTTCCATCAATCCCATTACTGAAGCTCAGTAATAACGAAATAACTAGAACAAATGGCTTTAAATTAGATAAATTCCGATTCAGAAAGGATATAGGCAAGCACTGGTTTGGTAATAGAGTTGTGGATATGTGGAATAGGCTACCGAGTGCTATAGTAGGATCGGGGACGCTAGGGAGCTTCAAGACGAAGTTGGATAGGCACATGGAAGTGCTGGGATGGGTGTGAAAGGGATCTGCCCTGTATGGGCCAGTCGGCCTCCTGCAGTATCCCACTTTCTTATGTTCTTATGTTCTTATAATATCACTAAACCCTACACTACATTACGACTGAATAATTCATTGTTATTTGAACTACCTTGTTCAAATATATTCACGCTTAATTTATAATGTTATTATGTATAAAACTTACCAATAATTGGGGCTGTGCAAAGAATACTAGGGAGCACTCAACGTGGATCAAGCTGGGGCTGACGTCATGGTTTGTAGTGGAGTGGCAGCTGTTAACGTCCACAAGCAAGTCGAACGAATCCCATGCTCGCGGCTAACTTAAAACGTCCGGCCGCATTGCCCGAATTTTGAACGCCGTTCAGCTGGCCGCATGTATAGCAATTCCCGGCCACAAACGGCCGGAAAAGGGAAGTTTGCGGACCCTGACAAAGTTCAGACGTCCCCGCGCCTTATACACTATCGCCATCTGTTTATTCCGCGGCTAACTATATGATTGTGCTTACGCGGTTTTCGCCTTGCTTTTCTGGCTTTCAATTACATAGTCTTTGGTACGAATCATGGTGTCATCCAGAGTTGCCAATTTAGCGCTTTGAGCACTAGATTTAGCGCTTTTATGCTTAATCTAACTCCAAATTTTTGCGTTTAGCGGCTTAGCGCTTTTTCTTACATCTAGCGGCAATTTTAGTGCGTTTTCAATTCATGGGAATTTTCAAATTTTATAAAAGTATCCAACCAAGTTGCTAAGTGATCTTGTTGATTCCATTAGTTCAAAGTTCTCATTCCTGGAAATAAATTAAAAGAAAGAGATTCAGTACATAGCTACAGTACTTAGACCAAAATTCGTATCTAGAATACGAGTTTGAATAGCAGATGTCACAGTGCAAGTTTCCGGATGAAAAGGATATTCGTGGAAGATGCTACAGTTTGTAGTGAAGCTGGTGAAACAGCTTAGTCAACGATTGCCAGACAATGTCCAAGTTTTGCAGTCAATGTCATCTGAGTGCAAGTGAATGCTTTAAACCATTAAAGCCTGGAATATTGGAATTAGCAAAGATGTTTGTTGATAGTGATAAAATTATCACACGCATCGAGTTCCAGTGGAAGAAGCTTCATTACGTATTATGGAAACAAAACCCTGACACCCTAGGACTCTGGGCAGAAATATCTTTGCACAGGGATGCAACAGGAGAAAATCCTTTTAGTTACCCCTGAGTTAGCTTTGACAGTGATAACATTGCCTCATTCCAACGCTGATGTGGAACGCATATTTAGTCATGTGAATATTGGCAATTCAAAACCTCGAAATGCAACACTAACTATCAAGTATGGACTAAGAAGCAAGCATTTACTATTTATGCTGCAATGTAATAGGCTGCAAATTTTACATAATTATTATTATTACTTGTTATCGTCGCTGGCTTCAATTACTGTACAGTGCTGGCGTTGCCTTAACCGAACAAACATAGAAAATCTCTCAGCCTGCGACCACGTATCAAACCATTTACACCAGTAATATGTGTATAATTTACCATAAATAATTCCTAGCACTTTTTTGTTAGCTTCTCTTATAAGTTTAGCGCTTTTTGGGGAGTGAATCTAGCGCCACGCGAAATTTTCAGTTGACAACGATAGTGATAAGAGATTACCAAGACGAGTTGGGAACTTGGGACTCGGGAGGTCATATTTTGTGTCAATCATTCGTAACATTGCAGTAGTGGTGATATGCGCGACTAATGCAAAGGTAGGTGAAGCTTAAGAAATTATCAAGCATTTCACCGTAACTTCAAATATTACCGAGAAACCTTATCTATACCCATAAATACTGTTGAGGCATGCTATTGGAACGATCTGGCAGGACAGAATGTAGCTGAATAAGTTAATGTTGTATCGTTGACGCTGTGCTATAATGTAAGTAATCCTCAGTTAGTGACAGGTAAGTCCATGATAACCAAATTGTCTCTTTTTTACTTTTAACAGTACAGTTGCGTCTTCATACCTCAAATTATATTAAGCATCGTGTTAGTGGTCCGAAGTGATCGTGTCTGGTACCTGTGGTGACTTGTTGGGTAATGTATGAGAGCACCGCTACACCAGAAGTTGTTCGATTTCATTATTTTTTTCCATAAATGCACTAAACATAATAGAACCTGGGTATAATTGCAGTTTCGGACAATACACGGCCAACGGTTTTAAACAGCAGCTTTACCAGAACCTGACCTAACCAGCCAAATGAGGTAACATTGCAGTAAACAGCAACCACAGAATTTCAGAAATTCACTACACTCAATCGATAGGAAAATTGTACAAGTGATAATTTTCTTACATTATACTTCTATCGTAAATTGTTAATAAGGAAGTTATTGAATTTAAAAAAAAAAAAAAATCAGAGCCCCTGTTGCCTATTCACTGTTGCTCAAAATGTGTGTTCTAAATCTAGATATTTGATTCACTTTCACTTTTATTCTCTTCAACCAATGAGCGTTAGATATTCTGCGTTGGTGGTAGGATGCGGGAAATTTTGAATCGGTTGCAACGTGGAGCCATTATGTGCTGGGTACGATTTCCCTGACTCGTAGTAAGGTAAGAAATACTGTATTGGCTATTTATATTCTTGTGGAGGCTGACCACGCGTCTCTGGGTTATTACATAGCGTCTGGGGGTCCGCCCCCTGTCTAGGGTGGTAATGTAAGGTTTAGTTTGGTTATATTGTATAAGTTAGCAAGCACAGAGTACCGGGAAATCAGAACACTCAATCGATGGAACTATTATTTCTCTATTTTTTTTTTTGTAAGTAACCGAATTTCTTTTGCGTAATGTGTTCTGAAGTTTTCTTGTTGCGATTTGGACAATTTTGGTATTCGCACCTACCACAAATCACTCATTTTGGCACTCCCGCACCCAAAACCCTGAATTCCCACGCTTCCCCCTATTATTGTTGGATGGGGTGGGGGTCTAAATTTAAAACAGTGGTTTCTGATAAAAATGAATGTCAGATTTGAACCAATCGCATCAAAAACCATCGGAAGAACACTGATTTTTCTTCAGATTCTTTGGTTGCTGTAATCTGCAGTTTTACCCCAAAGAAACTAGAAACTTACCTAACCTTACCTAACTTCCTCTCCTCCACCCCCCAAAAAAAATAAAAGTAAACAGAAAGTGGTAAAGATTCGTTTAAGGTTTCAGGTCTTGTGATTTCTGACATATAAAGGTCCAAATCTTTGAAAAGTCAAAACACATCAAAAACCATCGGAAAAACAGTTTGGATATCTCACCAAACCTTGCCTAACCGAACCTAATTCTTAAAATTCCCTGATTAACCAAAACTAAAATAATAATATAAGTACCTGTATTGGTAATAATTTGGATCGTGACTGTCCTCTATTTTTCATTGAACATGGGATTAAAAATGCCCAGCTTTCATTGATTTTGGTTGTTATTGAAGACTAACCCTCCAACGTGTTATTTGTTTTGATTATATTCTTACTATATTTTCATCAGTGATTTTTGACATAACCTTTTTTTTTTTAGTTCATTCTCAGTGGTGATGTGGCAGTACACAGCCAGTCATATCCGATCGACGCCAGTCGCTGGTGTATGTTTATGAGCCACATGGACTGGGTATCTGCTTCCATGTCCACAAAAAAAAAAATTATACTCTATGAAAGCAAGCGTTTTCTGTTTAATATGCAGGTGTCTGGAGGGTGGAGCCTCACGGCTAGGAAGTTTGGTAAGGTTAGGTAGGTTTCTTTGGTTAGGTTGGTGAGGTCTTCTAACAGTGTTTTTGCTGCTTGTTTTTCTTTACGAACTAAGGTTAGGTTAAATCTAGAAATAACAACTTTTTAACACGTTTGCCAAAGCTACGACAGTGTCCACTATAAAACACAGTGAAATTGCATCTTTTTTAAATTAGGGTCAGTTGTCAATAATTACCCTGATTTTTTTAGAGAATACTGTATTGTTGGGAAAAAATATAAAAATGGCTGTAATCAGGTGTTAACCTAACCTGTTTCTTAACTTGCTTGTATCTGGAAAACTAAGTGTTTACACAAGAAAATGGAACTAAAAGTAATCAGCATACAAAACTGTAAAAACACCCTCATAATTACCGAACTGCTGACAGTCACGAGTCATATATTAGCCTAAATATTTAAAAGTCAACAACTTTCATCTTAATTATAAGTTAAGTATTTTTTTATTTTTTTATTTTTCACTATTTACAATCATAAATCACCAGTAGTGGGCAGGGCATGAAGGATGAGAGAAATTACGGGCACTAAAATGATATCTACATGTTTTGTATGTGAAGAAATGAATTATTTACCATAAATCTCCTCTGAAATGTCTCATCAAGACAGACTCACTGATGACCACTTGACAGATCTCCTAGTGGTCTAGTTGCAGTCAGAATGTGTTAGCAACTTCAGCAGATTTTTAACAACTGGGGCCCGCCTTGTTGATGGCTGCAGCACAGAGGAAGTGTTGGGCGATATCGAAGAATTGGACGAGGAACAGATACAGAAACTTGTTGACCAAATCCAGTGAAGAAGAAAGCCCTCAGCTACTTGCAGTTATTTTACTTTTAATTTTATCCTCTCACCACTGATCGGCTCGTTAGCCGCTTGGGCGATCGGTCGCGTCTCTGTCTTGCTCAGTAGTTTTTTAAGAGGATCTAAAATTTTTAAAAATTTCAGCTAATGATATAAAGGAAACAAGGAAACAGATTATCCATAGTATAAAATGTTGTGCACTTCAGTGTTTGCAATTTGAATATGATTTACCTTTTGCTATTAAGTTAAATAGTGTCAATGTAAACAAGTTTCTATTTTGGGGTATCCAGTATATGTCAAGTATTGAAATTTGATTTTTTTTTTAATGTCTTGTATAATTTTGGAAGGGCTAATAAACTTTGGGAAGGGCTAGTAAATATTCATTCTATTAGCCCTGCTGGCTACCTGAAAAAAGGGCAAAATTCTACCCCTACTTTGCCTTCTTCTTTGTTGCCATCCTCTTACAATGTCTTACTTAAAAAAGCTGGTTTTCCGGCATCTTCGTGATACTGTATATATGGTACAGTGATCCCTCGGTTAACGAGATTTCGGTTAACGAGTTACCTTCCATAAGATTCTTAACTTCGGTTAACGAGCAATCCCTGGATTAACGAGTTTTTTACAAGCCGACCTCAACATGTTTTCGCTTGCATTTGGCGGTCCACCAGCTGTAGTATTAGTCCGCCAATACAGTAATTGGTTTTCGGGCTTAAATTCCTGACTATTTTAGTAAATATCAAGAAGTTTATACTATTCAATAATTTTAAAAGTTTAATATTAATATTTTTTAGTCATTTTAACAATTATTGAACATAATTGAAGGTAAAGAAACTAGTTTCTGGCACGCCATCCAGCCTGTTAACACACAGGCGTTAGTCTCTCTCTCTTTTCAGTGGAGGTAACATATTGCTTGAGACTCTCTTGCACTAAATGCTTTTTTTTCTGTGTTTCCAAGCAAATTATTGGTCATTTTGAAATTTATTTTACATATTGACAATATATAATGCAGTGCAGTGTTGATTTAAAGAAAATAATCTTGAATTACACCAAGAGAACTAAAATTTTATGGGTGAAATGGCGCCTTGGGGTGACTTCTCTTCCACCCCAATGCCTTCTCTTCTCCCTTCTCCTCCATCCCCATTCTAATTCCCATCATCATCATCCAGGAACCTTCTACATACACACCTCAAAGTAAGTGTGCTTTTCTACATTTTTTGTTGAATTTAGGCAATTTTCTGTGAGCTGGAACCAATTACCCAAAAACCCATTGAAACAATGGTTTCGGTTAACGAACTTTTCGGTTAACGAACGACCTTCTGGAACGGATTGAGTTCGTTAACCGAGGGGTCACTGTATATATATATATATATATATATATATATATATATATATATATATATATATATATATATATATATATATATATATATATATATATATATATATATATATATATATATATATATATATATATATATATATATATGACGTTAACAATCAATGCTCCAGAATAGTCGCTTTAAAAAAGTGCAGATACTGCACAGTATATGAAAAAGGGAAGATTCAATTTTATTCCGTACATCATTTCATTTCACTAAAAAATATATCCAAACTGTGATAAAATAGTAGGCTTCCATCATCCTCATCCTGGGACATTAACAGTAGTATCTAGAAATTTTTCTAAAAAATTAAATAGGAAACATAAATATTCGACAGTGAAATACCAATTATAAAGCAAATGTACAGTCCCATTCACTAGTGTGTTTACAGAGACTCGTCAGGTTTTGTGCAGTGTGGCAGTGTTGTGTTTGTTTACATTTGACAGAAGGAAATTTGCAGTAGTAAACATACCCGGTACTATGGAATCAAATTATAACAATATTAAAACAAATATGGAATATTTATATGATGAGCCCCTGTAAACGCACTAGTGAAAGGGACTGTACAGTTGCTGAAATGTGTTTCTATGCCCCCTTTAGTAACCTGTGTCTCCAAATGACAACGTTGCTGAAGTAGTATCCCTGTTTATTAATGAATGGGTATTGGTCATGTAACGGCAGACTTAAATTGTTGGACAGGTTTGCCATAGGTCATATAGGTTGGCTTTTTTGAGACACGGGTTACCACGGGGGGATGGGAACACATTTCTGCAGTTGTACATATACAGGTATTGTTTAATTAATCTTTTAACATTCTTGCAGCTAACCTAAACCATCATTGTTCTTAGTTTTCCACTCGTCACTGCATTATGAAACCCTTGTTGTTCATCAATATTTATTGAAAATATACTGGGGGGTATCAGGACCATTATACTATGTGTGGATTCTACTCTACAGTATATAAAATGGTCATTATTATCTGTTGTTTTATATGTTTGGTGTCATTGTCTTGATATATATAATACAGTACAGTAATTAGCATACAGAGAAGAAATACTGTAGTGGCGAATGTATTCTCTGAAAGCGTGAATTTGTTTGTGATGTCGATGGTAAATATTCTTTATTTCAAAATACTTTTTCCACTCATACCTTGAAAGTTAATATTTTCAATCAGTTATATATTTACAAACATTGAAGTCAGCATAAGTGTGAGTCATAACAGGGTATTCTTAACATTTATATAGTGTGTGGATTTATTTGTGAGGTATCAATATTAATCGTACATTCGTATGAACCATCAAGTAAAAAAAATATACTACACTATACAGGGAGTTCTGCTATAACGCGTGTTTTGATAACGCGAATTTGCTCTAACGCGATTTATGAATTCGGAACAATATTTGTATAACGCGAACGCTTGTTTGCTATAACGCGATTTTTGCTTACTATTTCTCCAATTTTGTGGTATTAACTGTGAATATGGTAAAGAAGAATATCTCCAAAAAGCGCTCTGATGATAGAATTCCCGGTGATTATCGTAAAAGAAAGGATATAACACTTGAAGAGAAGCTCAATGTTATCAACCTCAAAATCACCCTTCTCCCCCATCAAGTTACATTCATATTTTTTCAAGGTAAAGTGTTAAATTTACTGTATGATTTCATTATTAGATATGAATGTAACATTTATTTAGACTGTGCTATCCTTTGTGTTAGGCTAAATACTAAATTTTTTCGATTTCGAGTAATCTGCACCTAACCCTATTTTCTCCATAAGTCCTGTTATTTCTATTACGCGATTTTCTATAACACGATATTTTACAAGAACACAATTATCGCGTTATAGCAGAACTACCTATACTTATAATTACTGTGGATTTATTTACTAGTGGGTCTCACCATGGGTCACCATGATGTGTATCATTATTTCTGATTGCAACTGTACATTGGATAAGAAATGCTTACCACCAAAAATAAGACAAAAGATCAAATGCTCTAATGTAATTACAGTAATATTAGAGAATAGTGCAGTTTAATTTGAAATCCAATCTTATCTTGGGTTCTCTTTCCAGGATATAGACATCATCAGAAGAGCATCACCAGGATGTATCAGCCTTGGCATGAAGTGCATGTGATTTGTCACCTTTTGGTGGCAGTGATGGGAAGCCAATACACTGAGTTACAAGCACAGCATAATAATTCACAAAACATAAGTGCCACTGACTGCCCAACTCTGTCAACTCTGGGGTGTGTAACTCATAACAAAGTGAATATACAATTTAATAGCACATCACCTTGCTTATTCAACTGTACTTATGATCCCAAGGTGAGTTTTTTGTTTCTATTTTTCCCTAGTCTGAGAAGTAGTCTTAGGACAATTGTAGCAGTTAAGTTTCATAACCTTAAAAATAGGAGTCGAATTGCCCAAATCAGTGAAATCACAAATTTCAGAATTTTTCAATCAGAAATTGTTATCTGGCAACTACCAGGCTTGCTTTATGTTTGCTGTTATTTTTTCAAGATGGAATGCAATTTTGTGAAATACGATAGTACTGTGACAGAAATTAATTAATAAATGATAAAACAACTTTTCACAAGAGTATTGTAAGAACAAATCATGTTAAAAAATTTGTATACTGTATTTTCAAATGAAATCATATGACATACCAGATTATCACTCAAGGACATTCAGGAATAATTTGCATAGTTAGAACTGGATGTTAAAGTGAATTAAAAAGTACGTACAGTATTCCCGTGTTTTTCGCCTTTTTTTTATTGCAGTTTTATTGCGTAAAGTGAACAACATAACATATGGGATTAATTGAAATAGAGACCGGGCCGACCCCCAAACTCCACTTTTTCCCGGCACAAAATGTACGTTTTACTAAAAATAACCTCTTAACTTTATGATGGTATTCACCCACACATAATATAGAAGGGAACAGTCAATAAGAGAAGAATAAACTGAAGGTTAGGTTAGAAAAAAACAAGGCTGGGGTTAACACTTACATTAGTAGAAGAGATGGGTCGGCGTAGGGGAATGGAGGCTGGTTCCGAGGCAGAGGGCAGGCTACTGGCCCTCAGGTGAGTCTTCATCGGTGTCATCCACACTTGCTAGTGCCTCCCTGACAAATCTCTCAAAGTCGTCATCACTGTCTCTACCTCTGTCACTATCACTGGCTTGGGCTGGCTGTGGTGGGTTGCGGGCGAAGAACTCTGGTATGCTTTGCTGACGGCTGGTGTTTATGTTGTCGTGATAAACCTTGATGTAGGACTCCATAGTCTGCAACAGCTGGGTAGTGAAGATTTCATACCTGTTTGCGTCAGGGTCGTCGAAAAGGAGGAGCTTGACTTTCTCAATACACTCGATGGCACCCGTAACATTACTATGGGATAAGCGGCGTTCTTCTTGGGATGACGCACCACCTGCCTCTTCACTGACGTCATCATCATCTACCATGTCGTCGGTAGTCACATCAGGATCCCTTATCACCTCCAGGATGTCGTCGTTGGTGGTCTTGGAAAAGCCTGCAGCTGTAACACTCTGCGCAGCTTCTCTGGCAAGGTCCACTGCTACTGCAACAGTCTGAACCTCACCAGTCACAGATTTACTCTGCCTAATGGCCGGAATGCCCTGCAACACATGTCTCTATGCGTGACGAACAGTTGCTACAGACAGCTGATCCCATGCCTCCACCAAGAAGTCCACAGCTTTCTTGACATTGAATGTTCTCCAGAATTGTTTTAAAAGTACTTCTTGCTCTGCCAACTGTTGATCCTCGTCGTCTTCGCTCTTGCTATCGGTGTTGGTGTCACTCAGGTTACGCAACTCTTCCTTGGTGTTGGTGTAGTCGTTCAGGAGCTTGAATTTTTTAGTTGAGAATGCAGCTTTTACATTACAGATTAACTCGTCCATGGGCTGTAATATAGACGTAGTGTTGGGAGGAAGGAAGACCACTTTTACGTTGGGGTGACGATCTAACAGTAGGAGCGAGTGTCCTGGTGCGTTGTCCAGCAGCAACAAAATCTTGAATGGCACATTCTGTTGCTCACAGAATTTCTTCACATCGGGAACGAAACAGTCATCAAACCAGGAGAGGGACAGTGTAGAGAACATCCACGCCTTACGTGCGGTCAGCCAGTGGACATTTAGCTTGGTCATGTCCATGCTCTTGTAGGCGTGCGGCTTGCGTGCTGTGTGGATCACCGATAACTTGAGCTTACAGGTACCGGAGGCATTGGTGGTAAACAGGACGGTGATGCGCTCCTTCTGCAACTTCCGGCCCCGACACTTGCTGGCATTCTTCACAACGAAGGTCTTGGAAGGTAGTTTTTTCCAAAAAAGACCAGATTCGTCCATGTTAAACACCTGGTCGTCGGTGTACTGTCCTTCCTCCATAATCTCACGTAAAAACGGAGGAAATTCCCTAGCCGCAACACGGTCACCACTAGCTTCTTCACCACCAATGTTGATATTGGTGATCTCGTTTCTCTTCTTAAACCTCTGTAATCACCCAGAGGAAGCATTAAAGGGTTTGGGCTCTGTAATTCCCATCTTTCGTGACACTGCAGCATACAGTTCACGTGCGTACTCCTTAACTGAGCGCGTGTCCACCGCCATGTTCCGTCGCGCCTGACGCACCAAATAGCTCACAAGTAATTTTTCTGTCTTGAGAAGCACCTGGTTGTGGCAATACTTGATCATAGAAGCACCTGTAGACTTTGTGATGTTCATGTGCTCTCTTATCTTGGCTGCATCCTTCTTAATTGTCCTGATCGTAGACTCGTTAACACTATGCTGGCGCGTGAGATAAACCTGTCTTGTTCCTTTCTCCAACTCTTGTATGATCTTATACTTAATTTCGTAGCTTAAGGAACGTCGTGTCTTCTTTGGCTTAGGGCGGCTGGGTCCAGGTAAGGAAAGGTTTCTCTCTGGGGGCGGTGGTCTGGCGGAAGCCATTTTACAGAACAGTGGATTCACGTATACACGGTGTGGCCTTGAGGGATGAAACTGCCGCGGCTAGGTCAAGCGTCGTCTTTCCTCCCTCCCTCCCACGGGTGGACACGTCATATTACTTTAAACCAATCACATATGTCATATGACGTCACTGATAACGCAACAAAGAGACACACTGCGCAACCTACTCGCGCCGCTTACACAACATGGCGGATGGCGGGAGAGATGGCGGGAGGTTTGGATCCAAAAATGGCGCGGCTCGCCAGCCGCTCCCCGCGTAAAGGGGTACATGCGCCGCGGAAAGTGAGCATTCTGGTTTCGGCAGGGTACCGTGTAAACGTGGAAACGCGTAAAGTGGGACCGCGTAAAGCGAGGGTTGAGTTTACGTAAAATAAATTTCAAAATGACCAATAATTTGCTTGGAAACACAGAATAAAAGCATTTAGTTGAAGAGAGTCTCAAGCAAGATGTTACCTTCAGTGAAAACAGAGAGACTAATGCCTGTTTGCTGTGTTAAGAGGCTGGATGCTGCACATTAAACTAGTCACTTTACCTTCAATTATGTTCAATAATTGTTAAAATGACTAAAAAATTTAATATTAAACTTTTAAAATTATCGAATAGTATAAACTTCTTGATATTTACTAAAATAGTAAGGAATTTAAGCCCTAGAACCGATTAATGTATTGGCGGACTAATACTACGGCTGGTTGCCCGGTCAGTGCAAGCCAAAACTTGTTGAGGTCGGCTCGTAAGAAACGCTTTAACCGAGGGATTGCTCGTTAACCGAATTTAAGAATCTTTGGGAGGTAACTCGTTAACGGAAATCTCGTTAACTGAGGCGCTCGTAAACCGAGGGACCACTGTACAGTCGGCCCTTAACATACGTGAGGGTTAGGTAACAGAGATACCCGTGATTGTACTTTTGCTTCCCCCCCCCAAAAAAACCCCTGGCCCCCCCCCCATGTCCTTATTTATCGTATATACCTGTGTGTAGTTCGAGTTTTTAAGACCAAATTATTTGGCAAAAAATTGGGGGTCAACCTTTAAACGGGTAATAGTTTCATTAGGTTCAAAAATATTTACCAGTAACTACCAGTAAACAATGGAAATGACGCACCAACACACCACCAGCTGTGAGTGTTGGTACAGTTGCCAGGGCAGATCTCTTGTGTCATCATAGCCAGCCCAAAGTAGCCAAATGCATGGTATGGTAGCACAGGACGATGTAAAACAAAGTATTCATTTTTTAAAGTTTATTTATAGATACTGTACATAAATTTTTGTTCATTACATTTGAAACATCAATCTTTGTTAATTAAATTTGAAACAAAAGAAAACTATGATACCGTATTTTCATTAAAATATTACATCACAAGTATATTTTACCTTAACTGTGACTGAATGAATATATTCTCAGAAATAAATACGGAAATGTAATATTTGGCTGAAATGACGTACATATTACAGTGGAAAGTGGGATAAAATCATGACGAAAACAATGACTTTCGCTTTCTTTCATTGTTCAAAGGATTTTACCGTAATCGCTTTTCGAATGGTTTTCAGTTAAAAAACTGTTGTACTCTTACTGTATTACAATAATATTCTATCCTATCATTAGCCTCATAATCCCACAACTGAAAACCATTCGAAAAGCGATTACGGTAACATCTTTTGAGTGAAAGAAAGCGAAAGTCATTGCTTCTAAATTTGCACTCCCTTGAAAGACGTAGAGTGAGGGGCGATATGATCGAGGTGTATAAATGGAAGTCAGGGCTGAACAAAGGGGACATTACAAAGGTACTCAAACTATCCACCCAGGAACGAACTCGTAACAATGGTTTTAAATTAGACAAATTTAGATTTAGACGCGAAATAGGTAGACATTAGTTTGGAAATAGAGTAGTGGATGAGTGGAACAAGTTACCAAATATCATCATTAACTAGAATATGCTGGATAGCTTCAAACATAGGTTAGATGGATATATGATCATTAGGGGTTGGGTGTAAATGGGACTGCCCAGTATGGGTCAATAGGCGTGCTGCAGTTTCCTCCATTCTTATGTTCTTAGGTTCATTTAAGGGCTCATGTTTAATAAGGTCACCCTGTATATTTAAGCCTCTCTCTGTCCATGTAATCCAGTTGCCTCTGAAGATGTCTTGAATAAAGACGAAAGCTAAGGTGCTCCGTTGTTTCCCATTTCCCGTGTGATTTTATCAAGATTTATCTTATCCACATTTTCATTGTGGATCTACATGAATATATATATATATATATATATATATATATATATATATATATATATATATATATATATATATATATATATATATATATATATATATATATATATATATATATATATATATATATATATATATATATGCAAGAAAATCACTGTAGTAGCATGTGATCCAGGTATATGCTGATAACCACAAGGAAAGAAGAAAACACGAAGTTCCCAAGCGCTTTCGTGTAATTCACATCTTCAGGGGTGAGTACAGACTAAAGAGAAGTACAAAACAAGGTGTATATATATATACAGAGGAGGGTGAGATCAGGTCCACAATGGTCAGGTATTTGGTAATGACCCTACTAATCTTTAAAAAGCACCGCAACGGTCGGTAGTCAAGTCAGAGGGTAAGGTGACCCAACCTTCTCGCCTGGTTACAAATCTTCTTAATTACAAAATTGTCCAGTTTGTATATATCATTACTCAAATTCATGTCGACTGCTTCAGTATGTTTAATAAGACTAGATTCTATAATGTTCCTACTGTCAATGGAATTACAAGGTAATATTGAGGAGGCATTATCCCAGTCAATGCAATGCTTATTATCCCTCAGATGAACAAACAGAGCATTGGATTCCTGGCCTGTCCTAACACTATATTTATGTTGTTTAAGTCCAGTTACAAGATCTTTACCTGTCTGGCCTAAGTAAAACATATTACATTTCTTGCAAGGAACTTTATAAATGCAACCAATTGTGTTCTTGATTAACGTTTGTTTAACAGTGCATGAGTTTTTAAATGCCACATTGACGTTCCAGGTTTTTAGTTGTTAAGGAATTTGAGAGAAATTTTTGTGAAATGGTAATACTAAGAGATTCTTATGGTCATGGGTGGGCTTGGGATCAGTTCTATAAAAAGATTTCTCAGTAATGTTCAGGCATTTGTCTATGAAAGATCTAGGGTATTTAAGGTTCAAGCCAATATTATAGATATATTTATATTCCTCATCAGTGAATTCTGGGCTGCAAATTCTCAAAGCGCGTAAAAACATAGTTGAAAATACCGACTGTTTGACTATTATGGTGGGCAGAATAATAATGAATGTATGAACTTAAAGGTGTTACCTATTCTGTGTATCAGACAGTCTAGGAATGGCAATTTACAGTCATGCTCTAATTCCACAGTGAATTTGATCGAGGGGGCTAAGTTATTAAGTTGTGGCAGGAAAGCTTTTAGGTCCTCATTACTTGGCCAGAGACATAATACATCATCTACATATCTAAACCAGACTGCTGAAGGTGGTAAAATATTACTAAATAGTTTCTTTTCAAAGAATTCCATATATAGGTTGCTTAATACAGGTGAGAGTGGATTACCCATTGCCATACCAAATTTTTGAGCATAATATTCTCCATTGAATTCAAATTTACAATTCTTAATACATAGTTTGATGAGTTCGATGAAGTCGTCTTTCGAGACGGGCAATGAAATATTAGCCAGGGAATCTACGAGGAACTCTAGTAAATCATCAACTGGGATCTTTGTAAAGAGTGATGTTACATCAAAACTGACCAGTTTAAAATCATAATTAATTAATCACATTAATTTTGATTTTAAACTGGTCAGTTTATGATTGCTATGTCTAGTGCGAATTATAGGTTGTTTATATTTAAAAAAATCAAAATCGTACAAGAATGCCAGCAATGTAAGTTATATTCACACAGGTCATTTCACTGGCTTTTTATAGGAGAGAAGCTTAGTCACTTAAGATAAATGAACACTCGTTAGACTTGGGCCTGTGCCATCTGTCAAACCACTTCCCACGCCCCCTCCCTCCCATCCTCTCCCCCCATCTGCCCAGCGTTGCTGGAATCCTTGTAAAACAGTGAATAATTTTAATATAAACGTCATGTATTTTGCACAAGAGATAAAAATTAATCACCTGTATCACATTACAGTAGTGATATAAAAGTAATAGTGTATATGTATGTATATAGTATTCCACATACATGTAAGTATAAATACAAAGTTTATGTGATGATAGGGCAAAGTCCATTTCGGTTAACGTCATGTTTTCAAGAACGTATCTAGGACGTTAACTGGCGCATGACTGTATTGCAAGAATATTCTCCCTCCTATTCTTTAACAATGCAAAGATATTCAGGGACATAATTTTTTCTCAGTACTGTATTGTAAATACTTTTTACTTTGCAGGGTAGATGGTACAGATAAGACACGTGAATGGGCCAAATGGCATACCTTGCTCTGTAACAAGCTGCTGCATACCATATCAGTGTCTCATTAAATATTCTGTATACTTTTCATTGTTTTTTTTTCTATAAAACAATACAGTATATAAATTAATTGATTTCTTGTTCTTTAAATTTTATAAGACTGAACTTTTAATTTCTTAATTATTATTTTCAGCTGGGCCCAATACGCCTGGAACTTGAACTGCACTATAAGAAACCTGATAAATATCACACATTTGTCTCTGTCCAGCAGAAAGAGTATTTGAATGCTTGGACCCTTCCAATTACATTCCCAGTGCATGGAAAAAGGTAAGTAAACTTAAAATTCAGTTTATTTAGCATTTTCTTTGTTGGAATGGGATTGCACACGTAAGCATAAGAGTGAGCTGTCAGTGGTTCAGAATGGAAATGCTTTATTGATACCTAATATAATTGAAATTTTTTTTATTATTGTATAATGATTAGAGGGAGTATGTACAGTAAATTAAAACTTCCATTAAATATATGATTTACAATACAGGTTGTACCTCTCTAGTCTGGCATTCTGTGGTCCGGAACTATTTTAGTTTGCCCATGGAGAAAATTTATTTGAGTCTGGTACTTTCGATGTTTGGCTAAATGTGGCCTTATTTACCCTACTTTTTTGGTGAATTACTTCCTGTAATAAAGCAAGATCCTAATAAACCAACAAAAATAACACAGATAAAGTTAAATAAAAGCTAAAAACAATACAGAAAAGTTATTATGTTCTACAGCTTTAGCTAGAGTTGAACCTGATGACTTGGCAACTTCGTCATCCGAGTAAAAACACACGCAACAACGTTGGCTGTCATTATGCTTTCAACTTTACCACCACTGGTGGGTAGAATTTTTTTTTTAAATTCAGAAACATTAATTAAAATATATATGAACAGCAAATAAGTGTTGTTTTCATATTCTTATGTAGAGTAATGATGATATGTTGACACATGTGTGCACTTACATACATGATCTCACTTTTTTTTTTACCATTAATGGTTAGCTACTTCCATTGTTTCATTTATTAACATTAAATAACATTACTTAAAACAACCATATTAATTTGACTACAGATACAACCAGGATCTTATTTTCTTCAGTTTTATATGTAGAACCAATCAGTCACTGGTTTGTAAACATTAACGAAAACAATACTGTCTCGTCTCCTCGTGTGATTAATATTCCACGTATTATTAATGAATAATATTGTTCATTTTGCACACATAAACATTAATTCAATTAAAGAAAATAAAGAAATATTAATTAAAATATATATGAACAGTGGTTAACTACGTGGTGGTGAATTAAAAGATCAGCTGTTGAGCTTATTGATTGGCAACACTGGTGCATGTTACCACTCCTTTCCACTCCATCTCTCCAATCACCCACACCTTTTTGCTTTCTCACTCTATATTTTTAAATGTTATATAATGTAATGTTGAAGGGATACAATGTGATTAGTGTAAGTGTAAAAAATACTGTATTTTAGCTTTCATGTTTATTCAAGACATCTTCAGGTTCTGAGATCTACTAGTCCTCCACCCAACAGTGGGTGACCTGACATTGTATCAGGTCAGTAATATGAGACCATCAATACCCACACCCTACCTCCACCTGACATTGTGTCACTATGTGTCAAATCAGTTACACGAGATCCACTAATCCCCCACAGCTCCATGGGAGTGAAAAATACCAGTCTTTGCTCTAACACCCAGCTTCATTCACGACCATATCATATAGATTTTTAGTTTAGACTCTTGGAAAATTCCCCAGCACACAGAAACATTATGAGGATGTGGGCTAGTGTTTGTCCGTGCAAGATGCATAGTTTAGACACTCGGAAAGCTTTTCCAGTAATGGGAAATATTTCTAGGAGTGGGGGATTTTTCCGGGTTTGAGAAAGTCGTCTGGTTAGCCGGAAATCTCTTATCCCCGGAAATGCTCTGCAGCAATTGTTTCGGCTAACGGGGATATCACTCTTGTATATCACCTCTACGGACCCTCCATCTGAGGAGTCATCTCCAGGGGTAAACTCTGATTAGGATCCATTGGATGGGTCTACATCTGGGTCGTCTGTGGCCACTAAGCAACAGACACATCTTTCAACCATGGGGTAGGATAGAAAGGCCCAGCCCAACACAAGTTGTCCACCTCTCAACAAGGGGACTGGAAGAGCTGCACTTCATGGTATGCTCCCGGTGCATCCTCAAGAATCCAACACTCAAACTAACCCTACGCCTAAACATCTGTTAGGAACCGCACACTCGCATACCCCAACTTTGTTCCTCAATAATCATGGCTACTATACCAATGGAATAGAATTGTCAAGCCTTACCCCAACTTAGTTCCCCAATAATCATGGCTACTATACCAATGGAATAGAATTGTCAAGGCTTACCCCAACTTAGTTCCCCAATAATCATGGCTACTATACCAATGGAATAGAATTATCAAGGCTTACCCCAACTTAGTTCCCCAATAATCATGGCTACTATACCAATGGAATGGAATTGTCAAGGCTTAAGAACCAACTGGGAAGAGCTCCAGTTGCTGCTGAGCAAATTCTACCCTATATTCATTTGTCTCCAGGAGACTTATATTAGGTGCCTATGATAATCCCTCTCCTTATAATCCAGAACAGTTCATGATGGGGGCACAGCCATCCTTGTCTCTGACAAGTGTGGTGTACCCTATATCCCATTATCCATCATTTCCCTGTTGCATATGCTTCATATGCCTCCCAACCAGTACACCAATTGTCAGGGAGGATTTGGTTTAATTAATTTGTCAACTTCCTTCTCCTTATCTTATCCTCAGTGCTTTTAATGGAAGGCATACCCTCTGGGGTGATACAGCAGTTAATTCAAGGGGTGACTTGATAGCTTTGATAATTGAAGAAATGGTGATATCACCCACTATCATGTCCAGACCAACACGACTACAGCCATAGATCTCTCATTGAGCTCAGCCGACTCTACTGGACTTTGAGTGAAGAGTAACAGACGACCTCAGAAGTGACTTCTACCCTATCCTACTTTCCTCCCCAACAACACCACGAGTTCCCTGTTGGTGGTTAGACAAGGCAGACTGGGACTTGTTCAAGGAGCTACCGGAGGCAGACAGGAGCAGTAAAGAATTTCCCTCTGTAGATTAAGCAGATGAATACTTAATCAGCCTCCTCCAATGGGCTGGTCACTGCTCCATTTCTCGGACCTCTGGTCGTGTAGCTTGCCGACCTGTTCCTTGATTGTCGGAGGAGTGTAGGCAGGCAGTTGATGAGTGACACAGCTTATGGTTGCTACCAGTGTCATAGGACATAATTTTATCATGTGGAATAAAAATGGGCCAGAGCCTAAGCTCATCAAGTTTTAGAGAATGCCCATTGCCAGTCTTTTTCATATGTCACCTCTCTAAATGAAAAACTCCTTTGTCCCAGATATGGAAATGTGTGCAGATAATAGCAGGCAAGTTTTCATCTAATCCTCTCCCAGTCCGCAGGGATAATGATGGCAGCTCAGTTGCCGTCCCTCAAGAAGTTGCTGAGCTTTTTGTCACTGCATTTACAGGGTGTCTTTTATGGCAGCTCAATCCTCAGTGTTTACATGGGTGTGTAGAGTAGAGGAGTCACAGGCCTTGGATTTTGGAGTGGAATTGATTGTAGTAATTACATCCTTGGCGACGCAGCAGCTTTGGTCATATGTAGCCGAATTAGAATAAAGGCTTAAAAGACTAGATCAAATAATGCAAGGTAAAAACTATAAGTAACAAGCAACATAGAACTTTCATAATAAAACATTTAAACATTAAGAAATAAAACTCAAAGCTTGTGTAGAAGGCTGGAGTCCTCCATGAATGAGAGGACGTCTACTCCCACACTTGACCACCGACGGGTCAAGACGGGTCAGACGCACCTGGCGCTGCTCAGCAGCAGCCACGTCAATTGTTATGTTGGCCCATACCAACTCCCTCCCCTGAACCCTCCTCCCCACCGGAATATCAACAAGTTCTCGCCAGAAGTTACTATTTCATTTGGGAAAGGAATGGAACCAGTGTTGAATAGTGGTGAACAGTGCTTAAGTCAGTGAAAAACAACTCGGCAGTTGAGTCTTACCCAAGCTAACCTTCACACAGTGAGGTCCCAGGTACCCAGTGATAATTCCCCTGAGACTCCACGATAGGGAAGCCTGGGACCTCACCTCACCCACTTGAGTGAGTGAAGTCCTGTGACAACTGACCATGTGGTGTCCCCATGATGCTACGACACCACATAGTGAATGAGTTGCTACAGCATCATGTGAAGTTCCTCATAACACCATCTGTGAGGGAATTACTACACCACGTGATGCCCCTCATAACACCATCTGTGAGGGAATTACTACGCCATGTGATGCCCCTCATAATACCATCTGTGAGGGAATTACTACACTACATCAAGCCCCTCATACACCATCTGTGAGGGAATTACTACACCACGTCAAGCCCCTCATAACACCACCTGTGGGGGAGTTACTACACTCCGTGTCTGCTGTTCAACACCTCAGCTCACATGATCTACGTGTGTAAACATTAATCTGTATGTTCACTGTATGTTCCTTCACCTTTCTCTAATGAAGGCTTTTGTTAAACCACCAATGTATGTAATAAATCATTTATGTCCAATGTATATTTTCAGCCTTCGGGCTGCAAACTTTCTCAATAAACCGTTAATTATCATCATTATTATTATTATTATTATCACCCCCCCCCAGCACCAAAGAGAGACGGTATGTCCATCCTACCCCTCGGCATTAGGAGAGCTGCTTACAACGAAGATCTCCGAGACTGTTAGACTGTGGCATTCCATCAGGAGTTGTCGCACATTCAATGGGATCAGACAGTTATTGCAATGGAGAGGGGGCGCCCACTCCGTTAAAAAAACATGAGCCAACCGTGTGTGGATAACATGGAAACTGGTGGTGGTGGTGCAACAGTCCCTGATATCCCCAGGCACCCAATTCAGGATGGATGTTGCGGAGCTTGTTTGCTCCGACAGTATCCCACCTGTATTGCCAACTTGAGCGGATGGCGGCTCTTATTACTGGCTTCCTATCAGAGGCAGTTAGAGGGGAATTGCTTGCCATTGGGTGAGCAGTAGTTGCTTTCACCACAACATCAGCACACTCCTTCCTCTCGTCCCCCAGATGGGCTGGAACCCAGCAAAACCTGACTTTCCCTACCAATGTTGGATGAGAGACAGCCACCGTAAAATATCTTTAACTAAAGGATGAGGCGATGAGACAATAGCTAAAGCTTGGAGAGTACTATGAGAATCACTAAAAATTTTAAAATCGCTATGAGGCTGGGTAAAATTATCTTGATGGCAAGTAAAAAATCTGACAGCTCTGCAGTAAAAATAGATGCCAAAGTGGGGAGACTACCATCCCGACAGAAATCGGGAAAGACCACCCCAAAACCCACCCCTGCATCCGACTTAGAGCCGTCAGTATATACAGGAATAGTCCTCCTATGAGAATGGACAACACAGGGAGAGAGTAAGCCCTTCATTTTGTTAAAATACTGACAAACTGGAACCTCGGGGAGAATCCACTGAGTGGGACATACCTGAACAGGAGGAAAACAAAGAATACTCACAACCTTCTTTACCCGGAAGCCAAAAGGTCGTGGGAGGCCTGGATGCTGAGTGTAGTGTGAGGGACGTAGTCTTGATAACTACACAAGTGTTGGTTACAGACTGCGGAAGGTGGTGGAGGTAAAACCAACACTGGGCCTGGAGATACTGATGTTGAAGATCAAGGGGTGACTCAACAGCATCAACCAGTAGAATTGGGATTGGCATAAACCTGAAGGCACCGGTTGCCAAGCACACCCCAACATGATGAATAGAATTCAGTGCATTGAGTCTACTTTATGTGCCTGAGGAGTACACCTCACACCCATGTTCCAGTTTGGGTTTTGGGTCTAACTAGCATGTGGTAAAGGTGTAGCAGAATTCCTCGCTTTGCACCCCACGGCGTGTGCCCCATCACTCAATAACTTGAGAGCACGCTGGCAAGTCTCTTTGATGTAATGAATATGTGGCTGGCATGTAAGCAGGTTGTTGAAGATATTGCCCAGAAAATAGGTCTCTCCCCATTGAGATAACTACCTGGTCCAATTGACTGTTCAACACCTCTTGGTGGAGTGCCTCAGTCTCAGAGATCTCTTCCAGTGCTGGGAGAGGGGGGGCGTGGTCTTACCGTCTCTCTTTGGTGCTGGGGGAGGAGTTGGTGGCGTGGAATGGGGGGTTCTCTTCTTCGTGGAGGAAGCCAGCCTTCTACACAAGCTTTGAGTTTTACTTCTTAACCTTTAAATGTTTTTTTTTATGAAAGTTCTTTGTTGTTTGTTAATTATGTTTTTTACCTTGTATTAATTGATTTTAGTCTTTTAAGCCTTTATTATAATTCGGTGACACATGACCTAAGCTGTTGCATCGCCAGGGATATAATTACCACAATCAGCAATCAGTCAATTGCTCCCGGCAATTCACAGCTTTTATGATGCTTTATTACACTTGTCAGCTTTCGAAGAGAATTCACAGCTTACCCTCAGGCATGACTGACGCGTTCATCATCATTTGCGATGACATTTTTTTTTGGTTACATCATCACTAGTGACTACCGGGTACATTTTCACTCGCTGGCGCTGCCACATCTATTTTTTTGTTACTTTAGTTTTGTACTTTTCTACACTATTTTGTTACCCCAGTCATCTATTCTAATACTGTATACCGGTATGCATAAATACAATAGTACAGGTACTCAATATAATATAATGTACATATCTCTTATGTTATGAGCAGTTTTGAATGGGAAAATTGTTCAGGTGTAAAAGAGAAAGAAGACGATTTCTTGGATTTACTTGTTCAGGCAGTTATACAGAGTTTGAGATGTGTACTGTACCAAAGACAGTCGGGAACTGATCCTCTGACCAGGGTTGGACATTTTCCTGAATATGGATTTTCATCGGTGGACCCCGCATAGCTTGCAGCTTCACACCCTCGTGGAAGTCCTCAGGTTCTACAAGAATGTCCTTCAACTGCTCCAAGATTTGCTTGTAGTCCATTGTTCTCTGCTCGTCACTTACCATGTCCATACTGCCGCCTGTTGAGCATTGACCATGGAGCTTGGATAATCTTGGGGAATTATGTGGAGTACGATGATAGAAGGGTGTCATCTATCTCCTTGAATACGTCAATAGTGGTGTCTACAGGGATGTCTTCAAGGGTCATGGTTGCTGTGAATGAGCCCAAGGGAATCAACTTGTTACTATTGGTTACAAAAACCTTTTTGTCGTGTGAAGGAGATAGATCAGCTTATGTGAGGCCTAACTGCTGCATCTGGTATGGTCCAATTGCGGTCGCCTCGGCACCGGTGTCAGGTGGTCCTTGCCTGATCTTTGATGTTGACCTTTGGTGCATAACGATTGGGGCGGGTTCTGTGGACATTTCCAACCTTGAGACAGCAAGCAGCTCGTTGAGGTGACTGGGCAGTATTGTTGGATGTCCTCTGTGCGGAACTCTGTAACTTCCTTCTATGTGCAACTTCCTTCTACGACATGCTTTTCCGAAGTGCATTATGATATTACAGTGCTTGCATTTCTTACCCCAGGCTGGGCACTGTTTCTCCCAACCTCCGGATGCTGTGCTGCTCCGCAACCGTCACACTGCTGCCGCTGCGTGTGACCAGTCAATCTGTTGAGAGATTTGCTGCTGCTTGAGAGGTCTGTGTTAGTGTGTATGCAGATTCTTCACTATGACACAAGCATAAGGCCGCAGGTAGTACCGGGAGAGGGTCGATAGCCAGAAATTTCTTCCTAATTTGCGGGTGACGAACCGGGTATCCAGACATTGGTCACACAGTTTTGCATCGTCTACCAATTCCTTTAGGGCGACATAAAAGTCGTTGAAAGATTCTCCCTCACATTGAAGACGCTCCTCAAACCTCTCGCGACATAGAGCCATGTTGTGCTGCTGCTGTAGGTGATCCTTAATGCATGTGAGAACGTCATCAACTGTCACCGCTTGGTCATCCTCAGCGACACCAATAGCATGTGCTAATGTGGCCCTCATTTCAGGCATCAAACAAGACCAGAGATATACTAGCTGCGTGATTAGTGCTTGACTCTTGATTTGGAGTAATTCCACAATCAACCCATGTGCCACACCACAACTTAAATTCATGCAAGGATACATTGGGCGAGAGCGTGTGAGGTGCCAGAGCCTGGGGCTGACCTACCTGGGGACGGGATGCCCCCTCGCTTCTGTAGGTGACGTGCCTGCCGTGATCGAACCGTTGGAATCGCCACTATCCACACCCTGCGAACCAGGGGCAGGGGTGACCCCGCTGGATGTATTTAACGCTTGACAAATCATGTCCTGCATAGTGACACCGTCAGCTCTGGTGGCGTTCGTTACAGCAGCCGGAGTCTGTTGCCGCAAATTTCAGCTTCATGGAACTGCTCCTAATGCTGTAGGAGGTAGTCCTCTGCGGCTTGTAGCTGCTTTGCTTCCATAAGCGCGGCCAACCTGTCCAATGCTGCAGGATTAACTCCTTTGTCTGGTGGGTTTGGTACACCTGGTGGACTGGTTGCTGCATGCTTGGGAGAGCAGGAGGAGCGGCAACTCACTATCCAAGTACTGGTTACCGGGTGGGACAAATGGTCTTAATAAGCAGTCGGTTGCTCGTTACTCCGTCACTTATGTTTTTATCTCTGCTTTAACCTTGTGGTCATCTCTTGTAGATACTATCCTACTCACTGCGCCATGTTCAGGTGTAAAAGAGAAGGCAGAGACGATTTCTTGGATTTACTTGTGCAGGCAGTCGTACAGAGTTTGAGATGTGTACTGTATCAAAGACTGTCGGCCACTGATTATCTGACTAGGGTCTGTCCCTACAGGTGACGGACATCACCGTCTTAGCACACATGCGCAATGATACACAGGGTAGCAAAGTATTACCTGTTGAACGTACATAACATGACATAACAGACAAGCAGACACTTACATGCATGGTATACATAGCAATGCATGAATACATGATGTACAGGAATAAGTATACACACTGTAGCTGTAAGGTCCGAAAATGGTCTGGTAACGTTGAAACTGTGCATCCAGACGTATGATGAAACTCAGCTCTCCCCACCTGTTTATTTCTAAATATTTTCTGTTTTCCCCTTCTTTATTATTCTATTTACTCCTCTTCCTCCTTAACTAATCCAAACATCAGTAAAAAAAAGTAGGGTAAGAGAAAAAGTGAGGGAGGAGGAGGGAGCTGTACGATAACTGCAATCTCATTTGGCAACAAGTTTACTACCATTGGATACAATATATTACTTGTAACATAAACACAAGACACTAATAAAACAGTCACAACAAATGTATTTATATCATATATGTAAGAATAAAGCATAAATTACAGGTCATTTTGTAATTTTGTCTGTTCTGTTCAGGACAGTGTTACTAGATATTTTGTCTCAAACATGAACCGTAGGTGTATACTTATTCTTGTGGCTGACTGTACATACAGGACCGTATATGTAATACATAATGGTTTCTAATGGAGACATAGAATACATAATGCACATATATTATACATGACTATAAGATATCTCCAAATATGATTTTGACTTCCAACTTTGGAGTGCACTTTAGAATAGAAGGCTAAGGCCTTTTGCATGAATTCTATCTAAAACTCGCCCTGTGGATTAAAATTGGGTGTGGCTTATGTTCATCAAAATATGTTGTCTTACATAATGCATCTGTAGTAATATTACTATTATTTCCAGCCAGAAGTATTCAACTATAGAGGAACAACTGTGCCCCCCAGCAATGGAAGAGAATTTGCAATTCAGGATAATAACGACAAACCCCTCGAATGTTACCTTTCAACTCCAGCTTACTAACGACAGCTATTTGCTCCAGTAAGTGAGACATTATACGGTATTGATATTATAAATTGAGTGTATGTTTAGGCAGTATTAAAAGGCTCTTCTTGTAATGTAATGCATTATCTGGGTAAACATCATTCATCTCAGTAATGAATAATGAAGGACAGTGTTTAGTCATATGTTTTTAGTGTTACTTTTTCATTAACTGTAACTGTGAGAAAGCATATGGAAATGTGCTCTTTGAAATCTCCCAACTCGCAAATGTATATCGGGGAACCACCTTGATGGTCGTGGGACACTTTCTTCCTGTTTTCTCGTGGTGTGATGCTAACTGTGATATACACATTGCATTCATTCGTGCTGAAGATTATCTAACCTAGCAAGTAGTGGTAGCTAGATATTTTATTGATTAATTTCTTCTTGATTATTATCTAGCTGAGCACATTACTAGTTATAATATTATCAGTGATGGAAATAGCTTGTAGGATCTGCATTGGCCCCACACGGCTGTCTCATGATTTAATGGAGAGGGCGCCCCCTCCCCATTGTGCTAACTCCCTGGTCCCATTAACTGTTCGACACCGCATGGTGGAATGGCCCAGTCTCCAAGGTCTTCGTTGTAAGCACCTCTCCCGGTGCTGGGGGGAGATGGGTCTTACCGTCTCTCTTTGGTGCTGGGGGGAGGAATGGGTAACATGGAAGGGGATGTCATCTCCTTTGTGGAGGAAACCGGCCTTCTACACAAGCTTTGAGTTTTATTTATTAATGTTTAAATGTTTTGTTTTTTACGAAAGTTCTGTTATTGTTTTTTACCTTGCATTATTTTATTTTAGTCTTTTTAGTTTTCTTTTTAATTTGGCAACATACTGTATGCCATTTGGTGCTTGTATCTCCATTGCATGATTCTCTTGAAAAATTGCCCACCCGGGCACAGGTCACTGACCCACATAGGGGCCTGGGGGGCGATAATGTAATAATATTAATAATGATAATGCTAATAATAATAATAATAGTAATAAAGAACCATAAAGAAATGCAAAAATAAAAAAAAATCAAGAGTGAGAAACAATGTACCTGTACTGTATGTACAGTATGTTGTGTTGTCAATAGTAAGAGAAGCAATTGAGACCCTGCAATTGTGTGTAAATGAGGCAGAAAGTCAGATCAGCAACCTGGGACTTGGTCACAATTTTTGTGATGACATATGTTCTTTGACTTTTCCATTTTTTATTCATGGTTTCTGTGCTGGTTCATATTTATTTACTGAAGTGGTTAATGTTTTAAAGCAAATTCTATTGAAATCTGAATGGCAAATGAACAAAAATGAATAGAGGGACTTAAATGACGTAGGTTAGGGATAGGTACTTTGAAAATGTATGTTTTATTTCCATAGACTTTATGTATTATTAACCGACCTTTTCGATTATCCGTCGGCCCCTTCCCCCCATATGTGGTCGGTTAATCGAGGTTTTACTGTATCATTTTCATACATACAGTATTTAGAAAAAATATTTCAAAGACGTTACAACAAAACAATGTTGAGTAAAGACATTAATGAGGGAATTTGTGTAGTCTCATTACACTCTCTGATCTTCTCTGGATGGTAAATCACAGCAATAGATATGCCTTATTAAAAGTTCTGTATACACTGTAGTATGTGGCACTGATATTAATGGTTATATCCACACATCTTGCTTCCACTCCACTCTAGCAAGAAAATAATTTATCTTCAATGGTGAAAAACAACAAAAGAATTACACCGATTGACACATTCGCTTCACTAGAACGATCTTGATGTTCTCATGAAGTGACTGTCCAATTTCTGTTGCTCAATAAACCAAAGCCCAAGTGTCAACACCCTTTGTCATTGTGTCAATGGTAATGCATGACGTAAGCCAGAGTTGTCTACATACAATTATTTTATCTTGATTTATATTTGCTTATTAGCTTGGTTTAAAATCTAAGTTGGGAAGCTTGGACTTGCAGGAAAGCAGTTATCATGAATTTTTTATTTTTATTCCATTGTCAATTGTCTGACATTTTATTTTCATGTTTCTCCTTTATCATACTTTCAGGAAGGGTTATAATGTGACAGTAATTTCAACTCCAGTGTCACCATGGTATAAACTTTACCAATGGGGCATGGTTGAATCATCGGTTTTGGTCACAGCAGACAGTTTGGAGAAAAGTGATTCTGTGTGTGCCATACTTGCCTTGCAAAATGCTCAGGTAATGAAATTATAATTGTATTGAAAAATATTGTGTTTTGGGATTTGTTTTATTGTTATAAAACAAAAAATAATGAGTTACAAAATACCCTGTATATATTTATTAGTACAGGTGCTCCTCTACTTAAGAATGTTCAACTTACAAACTTTCAGAGATACAAACATCATCACTGAGGGGGGTTACCTGCCAGAACAGGTGTTTAATGTGGATGAGACTGGATTATTTTGAAGAAAATTCCAGATAGAACAAACATTACCTAAGAGGAGAAGAGTGAGCCAGGTTTTAAGGCTGTATTAAAGGATATAGCTGTACTAAATATCCATAATCTTTTCAATTTTTACAATATGTTTGGTATCTACAAGAGTAAAGTTGGACTTATAAACAATTGGACTTACAAACAAGCCTCAGGAACGTAACTCGTTCATAAGTAGAGGAGCACTTCTGCTATTACTAATATAGATAATATAATGTGTCCTTATACTGTCCAATACAGGACAGTGGTCTCTCTGTTAACGAACGGTTCGGTTAACGAAATTTTGATTAACGAATTACCTTCCATAAGAATCCTCAATTCTGTTAACGAACAAAAATTTGATTAACAAAATCCTTACCAAAATCACATTTTGTTGTGAGCACCAGCTGATCAGTTGATGGCCCAGTCTGCCAATTCAGTAATCTGTTCTATGTTTACATTCGTTTCCAATGGAGTAAATGTCAATAAAGTTGTGCTGTTTAATATTTTTGCATGTTTTATATTATAATTATTAGTCATTTTAACATTTATTTAACATATTGATAATATATGCAGTACAGGGAGCTAGTTTGTTGTGCGCCTATCAGATGCGTGAGACGGTCACAAGGCATCAGTTGGCTTTGAAAACAGTGTAGAGAGCATCTGTTTTGTTGGTGTCTTGAATATTTTTGCATTATTCATTGAAATTATTGGACATTCTGAACTTTAGTTAACATATTGATAATATATAGTGCAGTGTAGTGTTGATTAAAAGATAATCTTGAATTACACCTAGTGAACTTAAAATTTTATTGGTGAAATTACTGCATCAAGCATGGGTCCCCTGAAAGGTGATTTCTCCTCCATCCCCACTTCCTTCTCTTCTCCCTACTCCTCCACCCCCATTGAAGCAATGGATTCTGTTTACGAAATTTTCGGTTAATGAACGACCTTCTGGAGCAAATTGTGTTCGTTAACCGAGGGACCACTGTACTGCAAACATTTACTATTTATGCTATTACTATAATTATTATAACAAATATTTGCAAGCTCAAGCTCCCCCCTGGGCCCGGGCTCCTCGGGCACCGTTGTTAATGTGGCCCTGTCTATTTAATTTTGTTGGATTAATAAGTAAAACCCTGTTTGGTATGGCAACTGCCAAAGATGTAGCTAACCTAGGGAACAGAATGAATGCATTTTCATAAGTGGTTAAGAAACAAAATAGGGCCATTGAACAGCCCTACAAGGCAGTACAAACTCTGACCTCTCACATGAATGCTATTGTTGACGAAACTAATCAGCTAACACACGTTGTCCAGGGATTCACATGCACTGGAATGGCTACGCTGCTTTACAGAATATATGCATGCAGCTGAAACCTCTGTGCAAGCTTTAATAGACAATAACGGTAGGCTCATAGCTGATCTAGTGAATGCAGGGTTAGGTCGTGTTGATGCACAGTTGTTGCCAGCGGGTCAACTTATTGCCACTTTACATATAGCTGAAACTAAATATCTTTAACTCCTATCTTTCAGGAGCTTGGAGTGGAATATTATTTCACCTTATTAGAGGCAACCTTAACACATAAGGAAATACTAATACAGTACACGTTCCACTAGATTCACCCCAAAAATTTGATGCGTGGCACTTGGAACCATTTCCATTGAAAGCGAAAGACAATCTTTTAATTCTGAACAAACAAACTGAACTAATAGTAGTATCAGAGGATTTTTCATTAGTTGCTGTGACTAACCATGAAGTCCTAAATCATTGTAAGTTGACATACTTACACTTGCATGTATGTCCTATGTATGCTTTCGCTTTCACACGGGCTGCAGAAGTTACATGTGAATTAGCTGTAGTACAAACTATTTTTTATTTATTTTTTTTTACGGGCATTAACCCACCCGGCACTGGTCATTTTATGATCCATATCAAGGCCTGGGGGAATATAATAAAATAATAATAATAATAAAATTAAAACATTTAAAATTAACTATAATAATAATATTAATAGTAATAATAAAGAGCCATAAATAAATACAAAAATTAAAAAATATATCAATAGTTAGAAATGATATACAGGGTATGTATGTTGTGTTGTCAATGGTAAGGGAAACAATTGAGACCCTGCAATTGTGTGTAAATGAGGCGGAAAGACATCTCAGCAACCTGGGACTTGGTCACAATTTTCGTGATGCCATATGGCAGCAGGGTCTACCATTAGACAACACATTATGCTTCCAATATCTTCCCAGGTGGTAGTGCCTCCCTGTTTGGTAGCTGCCTACTACAGCTGTATAACAATGTGAATACATTCCAATACCACATATGGAAAATGTAATATGAAACTATAAAATATTAAAAATGAAGAACATATGTGAAAGTAAATGTGTTATGAGGCGGTCAGTTACTGGGTTTTAAATGTGTCACAGTATAAACACCCACAATGGTAGCCGCCACACGTCTGTGAGTCGGCTGAGCTGGATGATTGCCTGATCTATGTCGTGAGCTGGATGCATGGGAGTTATGCATGTGGATAAACTTATTTTTTTTTTTTACATAAAATGATATACAGTATAGTATACTGTACCAGTAAATGAGAGGAATAAAAATAAATAAATAAATAATAAAAAGTGCTGTGTTGCCATTTAACAGGAGATGGTGAAAGAACGGAGCAGTGAGTGAGGACACACCAGCTGTAGCTTTCTCCCTTCCACTTAAGTGCTTGATTCTACACACTTAATGATTAATAGCATTTATGTTTTTGACCTTATGATAATTATTGTATAATTTTTTTTGGCACATACTGTGTGTGGTGCACATTTAAACAGAAATAAGCTTAGCCTGCTAAGTCACCAGTTGCACTATTGACAGGTACAGGTATATATAATCATGTACTTTGTGGGTGATTTAAGGGATTTTCACGGGTAATTTTGACTATAAACGTTTTTGCCTTTACGCGCCCACTTTGGAATGTAACCCCACGTAAGATGCGACACGACTGTACCAGGTACTGTGAATTGGGGGTAAACACACTCCAGTCCAAGAAAAACAGGCACACACACTGCCCAGTGGCCAATCAGACAACTGCATAAGTGTTGAATGTACTGTTAATTGGGAGGTTTGTCAGAGTGTACTTTTTCCATAACAGTGCCATTAATTGGGAGTTACCAGTCACTTGAATGCTGAATTTATAAGCCTCAACCTATAATAAAAATACTCATGGTACATTGACTGAACAAAGTGAGTGAAATATGAGATTAGAATTAGCAGACTTAGAGATCTGTAAGTGATGAATATGGGAATGATAGTTACGAGATTGATACTCTAATTATGTTAATGATTAGTACTTCCTGATCATACATTATTTTTGTAAAAAATAATACAAGAAAATAGTTCCTGTTAACCCTTAGGCCCCGGGTGACGTTCCAGAACGTCCGCCTATTTTCCCTCCATTATTAATATTTGTTTTATTTTATTTTTTATTATTATTATTTTTGGAAAACTTGATTTTTTCTTGATTTATCCCTGTGGGTACTGCCAGCAGCACCCTAACCCAGGGCTTAAGGGTTAGTAAAACCTAAAATATCTTATCTGACTGTATTCATCAGACATAGATGTAGAGAAATACTAATTTCATGTTTCAGAAACAAGATACAGGGTAGATGAAAACATCTGTCATCACTGAATTCCCAATATCATTCTACCCAAATAAATGATAATTTAATTAAAAAACATAATTCATTTATATTCTATCGGGATGACTAGGTTATGCTTAGGTTTAAGTTATTGTGCAATACGAGTCAAGGTAATTGTTATTATAATTTGACAAACGAATTTATCTTAATCATTTATTATATTCTTTAGTGCCCAGTGGATACAGATGAGTCTGGACTTCGCTCTGGTCATGGTCGTTACCAGACCTTCACTGCTCGGGCTGGAATGATTGCACGAAAGGAAGAATTCCCTGATGGCGTACATATTATTGTCTTGTCCCTGCCGGATAATGAACCTTGTACACTAAATATTGCAAGTAAGTTCTCATTTCTCTGTTTTCCATTTTAAAGTTACCCAGTTCCAAGTTTTGAATATCAATAGATCACCAGTTTTGAAACCTTTACTGTGAGATCAAATACAGTATTACCCCGCTTTACGCGGTTTCACTTTCCGCGATTTCTCATTTACACGGTGCCTCGCCAGAACCGAACATTCACTTTCCGCGGTGCATCAACTCATATACGCGGGAAGCGGCGCAGGCAGGATGCGCACAAGATCGCCCAGTCATCAAAACATTACCGAGCTCTTCACCCGCCACCCACCACAGACGGCCTAAGTCAGTGATAGTGAGGATATGGACTTATATGGACTTTGAGGGGTTTGACAAAGAGGCCCTGCAAGCCTATGTGGTGGATAGTGATACAATTGATACAAATGATACAGGTGAGGGCCAATAATCTGCCCTCTTCCTCGGAACCAACCCCCCATCCCTGTGTGCCCAGCCATCTTTTCTACTTATGTAAGTGTTAAAAAACTAATATTATTGATATTTCTCTTAATTATTAATTGTGTGTGCATACCATCATAAAGTTAAGATAATATTTTTACTACAACATAGTTGTGTGTCGTCAAAAAGTGGAGTTTGGGGGTCGGGCCAGTCTCTATTGGAATTAATCCCATATGTTCTGTTGTTCACTTTACGCGGTACCTTGTGGGTTCAATTGACCGCGTAAATCGGGGTACTACTGTACTGTTAAAATAAAAATCTGAATTTCTTTTCAATAGTTCTGCATAGCATAAGTTGTGTTACTTAAGATTAAAATAAACATTTTGTTCTGGGACATGCATTAGATACATTCCGTATATACCCGTGTGTAGTTCGAGTTTTTAAGACCAAATTTTTGGGCAAAAAATTGGGGGTCGACCTCTAAACGGGTAATAGTTTCGTTAGGTTGAAAAATATTTACAATTAACTGCCAGTAAACAATGGAAATGATGCACCACCAGCTGTGAGTGTCGGTACAATTGCCAGGGCCGATCTCTTGCGTCATCATAGCAAGCCCAAAGTAGCCAAATGCATGGTATGGTAGCACAGGACGATGTAAAACATAAAGTATTAATTTTTAAAAGTTTATTTATAGATACATAAATTTTTGTTCCTTAAATTTTAACATCAATCTTTGTTAAATAAATTTGAAACAAAAGAAAACTACGATACTGTATTTCTAAATATTTTCATTAAAATATTACATCACAAGTATATTTTACCTTAACTGTGCCTGAATGAATATATTCTCAGAAATAAATATGGAAATGTAATATTTTTTGAACAAGAGATAAAAATTTTAGTACACTAATTTAGTACATTTTAGCAATGTAAAGTTTTTAACTGTTTTTGGGTGGATTTACATAAATTTCTTCATTTATTTTCATTCATTTATTTGCACACACCGTACTAAAAGAAACACAAAAGAAATAAATGACCAAGTGCAAACCTGTACTGTACAGGTACTAAATGATTAGGGAACTAAAATTGTTGTGTAGTGCAAATTATAGCTTGTTTATTTCAAATTAATCATTATCTTACAAGAATCCCAGCAATGTATAATTATATTCTCCCAGGTCATTTCACTGGCATTTTAAAATGAGAGAAGCTTAGTCACTTAAGGACTGATAAATAAACACACATGAGACCTTCGGCTCCAACTGTCAAACATATCACCTCACCTCCTGCTCCTCCTCCTCCCTCCTCCCTCCTCCCTCCTCCCTCCTCCTCCTCCCTCCCTCCCTCCCTCCCTCTCCCCAACCCAGGGTCTTAGGCTTACAGTTTTTATCTTGTATAATATCTCAGACTAAAATTAGGAGAATATAATTTGCATTGCTGGAATCCTTGCAAGACAGCGAATACTGTAATTTGAATATAAACATCATGTTTTGCACAAGAAATAAAAATTAATCACCTGTATCACATTACAGTAGTGATTTAAGAGTAAGGGTGTATATGTATATATATATATACAGTCAACCCTCACTTTACGCGGTCCCACATTCCGCGTTTACGCGGTGCCCTGCCAGAACCCAGGATGCTCACATTCCGCGGTGGGTGTACCCCTTTACACGGTGAAGTATAATTTTTTTTAATTTAGCTCATAAAATTCATACAAATTATCCGGCCAGAATATAATTTACATTGCTGGAATTCTTACAATTTGATGATCATTTTGAATATAAACATCATAGATTTTGCATTAGACATACAAATTTTAGATATAATGTTTACTCTTGAGTAAATATGTTATCTTTTGTGCAAAATATATGATATTTATATTCAAAATATTCCTGGTCCTACAAGGAATCCAGCAATGTCCAGACCAGTACATTGTTGTGTTTACTCCTGCCTTCATTGTGTCTTTTTGTTCATTTTGTGGTGAATTATTTGGTTATTTTTGTAGCCATGAATTCCAAACCCAAACAGGTTTGTTCAGTGTTTAAAAGTAAGTGCACTAGCTATAGCATAGATGTAAAATTTGAAGTGATTAGGTGAAAGAAGAGTGGTAGTGGACAATCCACCTAGTTCTCTCTCTCATCCTCCTACCAATCCTCCTCTCCCAACACCCGCCTCCATCAATCCAATCAAGCCAAACATCTTTACCTTTAAAGTTAGGTAAATAAAAATATTTTTATTTTAAATTATTTATTTTTAAAATGTTATGTATTTTGTCTCAATGAATCAGTGGAGTGAGTGTGCACCGACAACAGTAGGTGAGGACCACCGGGTCGCTGGCACGACCTATGTTGCCTCAACGCATTGACCCCAATGAACTTTTAGGGACATTAAGTAATTTATGAAAATGTGTTATCAGATGTTTAACAAATATTTTGAGTATCATTTTGAGTCCCAGTTTGACCTCTTCATTATTTTTTATGGAATTGATTACCCACTACAGTATAAGCGGATTCGTTGTCAGTGGCGTTTTTCCGGTCCCAATTAACTGCAGATAATGAGGACCCCTTGGGTATACTGTACTTTATCATTAGCCGTAAATATTTTTGATCGCTGCCTGCCACCCCAAAAGTACCTTCATTTGAAGGCTTGTATCATATTGAATTTTTTTTTTTTTATACTGTAAGCCCTTGTTATACTTATACTACCTTAGTGCACAACCGACCAGTTGTGGCAGCACTCATCCCCTATTTTAACGTATCTAATAATTCAACTTTCTTTGTCAAGGTCATCACTAACTTCTACCTTTTACACTTCACTCCACTAGCATCACTAGTACTGACTCTAGGCAGTCTCTTAGGGGCCATTTCACACAGAAACACTGTTTTGAGAGTACAACATGAGATGCTGCATCACAAGCAATATTTAAGCATGAACAGAGGGAGGTGAGATGCTGTGGGTACATGGGGTGACTTGTTCGCTGTGGGAAAAGGCTCGCAAGCTAGCCACCATAGCTACCATCTGCTTATTGAGAATCATCGAAATCACGAATTGCAAACCCTCCGAATGGCAAGGGTCTACTGTATTTATTTAACCAAACTTTTAGATAAACTATTCGGGATTATTTTGGTAAATTTTTTTTTTAATAAAAATGGTATTTCTAACTTAATTAGGAATGATTTTATAAACTCCTTTATCAACATTTCTTATATTTTTCATAAAAGAATTGATGCCCATTCTTTATATCATGTTTTTTGATCTTTTATTGGGACAGTCTTGTACCAATTTTATTCAGGGTCATTACGGAACCATATCCATTTCTCTAACACACTTAGAGCAGATGTTGTGAAGATTATTTTATAAATGTCTTTGCTCGCCTTAAATATATTTGATAGCAGCCTCGTGCCTCAAAAATACATTAGCTTTCATCTTTATTCAAGACATCTTCAGGTCATGAGACCCATTAATACCCCACCTCGAGACTGGGTGATCTGACATTGCATCAGAAGGTCAGTAATATGAGATCACGAAACCCCCATCCCATCTCCACTTGACATTGCATCAGATCAGGTCAGTAACATGAGACACTAAACCCCTACCACATTTCCATCCACTCTTAAGATTTCCCAGAGTCTGTGTGGGACTCAGATTTCTGTCTCCAATCAACTTTAAGAGTCCTCTTAAACTGAAAAGGGACATGTGATAATGATCCGACTTGTTTAATTGTCTTTTATTGTTTTTAAGGATTTATTTATTTTTATTTTTTGGATGATACATGTGGGTGTCTGACTGACCAGGAACTTATTTCATTGATCCCTATGCTATAATACTCCTGGTCTTTGATGTTTTGACCTGCAATGAGTTTTTCATGAACCTAACCCCATTGCAAATTGGGGGATATCTATATGCATTTTGAAATGTGCTTTCACTGGATTTAATTTTTGATGAAGTTTCATCTGAGAAAGAAATAGTAAACGTATCCATTTAACATTTTATTTTTTCCACTGACATCAGATCAAACTATTGAGATGTGAACCACAGTAACATTAGTGTCTTGCTCCTGCTTCACCCAGCGATCCTGTGAGCCATGATAACTAAAGCATTATATGTATTTTATTTTTATCTTAGTTAACCACACTTAATACAGTAGAATACTCTCTATTGGTTTTTTATTGTCTCTTATCACTGAAACATTCAAAATCCTGAAAGGAGTGGAAATCTTGAACCTGGGCCATTTCTTGGTGATTTGTCATGCACCATCAACACGAGGAGACATAATTTCATGCTCACCATGTTATCATGCAGAACGAACATAAGGAAATATTTCTTCACACAGAGGGTGTTTTAAACCTATATAATAATCAACCAGCCCAAGCTGTGTTATCAAGAATAGTACTAGGTTTCAAAATAACCCTCGACAATATTATCAAGAACAATGAAGGGATCTTACACAGGCCACTGGCCTCCATCCCATGGCATGGCCACTGGCCTCCATCCCTTGGCATGGCCATTGGCCTTCATCCCTTGGCATGGCCATTGGCCTCCATTACTTGGCTTGGCCATCTCTAGTGGCTGGCCATTAGGTAAGTAAGGTCCGGTATGGGAAGCCCTGAAGTGCCTTATCATCTTCCGATGCTGTGAAAAGTTACGAGAAAAGTAAAAAAAAAAGTGTACAGCAGTTTGGACTTTATCTATTTAAATAGCATCCTGGGAAAAAATATTTTAACTTGATTTTCGTAAACTGGATCTTCGTAAATTTGGGACTGCCTGTATTTTCATTATTAATTAGGAAGAAATTACAAAAATTGCCCCTTTTTTTTACTTCAGGTTTTTTTTTGATAAATTGAAGACTGCCTGTATTAAGTTTACCCAATGCTGATTTCTCCAGCACTGTATCATTGAAAAATGTATCCCACACTGGACCTGATTATGTGCCAGCACTGGACAAGATTTGAGTTGAACGAGCTTACACTTGATTCTATCACAACATTCTCTGGCATGTGATTCTAAAAGTTCTTAACTCAGACTTTAACATTTTATTCTCTATTTATAAAATCATTGTAATATTCATTCCAGATAAAGATAAAATTGATAGTCGGCATAAGACAGTGGTACTACAAGTATATGGTCATGCTACTGTGTGGTCCACCTGGTATATCTTTGCTGCTACTGCTGCAGTCTTGGCTGGTGTTGTATCACTCGCTACAAAGGTTGCTGTTTGGATGATGAACAGGTATGTGTTGATCTTGTTGGTATATGTTCAGGAAATGTAATAAGTTTAACATTGATGACCACTTAGTGAAATCATTTATTTTGCAATTAGAGTGTCAAGCTCTCTACAGTCGAACAAATTTAAAAAAAAAATTATTTGCACTGTTTAGTCATTTATTCCTGCTGTCATGCCTGTGTGGCTCTCTCCTGTAGTTTTAAACTCCCTTCCATTGACAGGGTCATTGTGTTAACCATAGTTTTACAAACTTGGGTCATGAAAGACACTACACCACAGTGCCAGACAGGAGGTGTGGCATTAAAACAACTAATAATACCTCTACAGTAAATCCCCTTAATCTGGACTCTATTTGTCTGGATTTCTCCTTTATCTTGACTGGCAAACCACTCCGGACTAACTTCCGTTAATCCAGAATGAGTCTGGATCTACCCACGTGATGGCAAAAATAAATAAACACTTATGAGCCACTTGAGTCACCTCAAAGTGACCAACATCTGGGCTGGGACTCTTAAGTGTTCATTATTTCTCTATTATCTTATCATTATTTCTCTATTATCTTATCATCTACTTTCTTTTGTTTGTTACAAATACAGATTTCAGTGTAAGTGTGTGATATAAAAAATAATTAATTTTAATTGATGAATGGGATGCCCCATTAAATGTAATAATTTTGTTTCTATATATGTCTTTATTTATATTATGCTTGTTGGAAAAGTAAAATGCCAATAACTGTATCACACACCAATAATGTTAATTATGAAGAAAATTTGGTTCAAAATATTTACATTTTTTGCCTGTACTGAAGAATAAAAGTTGCTTCTTGTTGCCATTACTGTTTAGTTACAAATATAGTATGTTATTGATGTTAAAGTTAATTTTATTTATCAATAGTCTTCTTACTTTTGTTCTGTATTTTCCTATAAGGGAGAATAAAAACAAAAGTCACATACTAAAATATTACCATGCTACCTCATGTTACTTTTACAAAAGAAATAAATGCATTTGCAGTTATTTACATTATTTCAGTTGATGGTTTGTTAAAAACACAGTATGTTGAAAATATAGAATAAAGTCATGCATTGCTATTTATATGTAACATTTTTACTAAGTAGTGGGGTATGTCATAACGAACTGTTTATATAACGAATATGTACATAACAAACTGTTTTCCCTATAAAATTGAAAATGCTAAAACGTACGAAAATTCTACAGCGAACGCAACGAACGCGGATGAATATTGGTTCGGGAGTTTAAATGCACATTTACCGTATATACTCGTCTATAATTCTACCTTGTTTATAGGTTGACCCTGATTTTTTGACCAAGAAATCATTAATTTATGATATGCCTCGTTTATAGGTCGACCCAAGTTTCTGAGGGTAATGGAACGGCAAAACCTTCACTAAAAACACTACGTCCTATAAACTGAGGGTCGCCGTGCCTGAAACATCGAGTGCCGAAGGCAAATTGTTTACTTGTATTACAACACTTTACACTGAAACGCTGGTTGTTTCAGCAAAAATATTGTATATTTCCTTTCAAGTATTTATTCAAGTCAATTAGGAGGGAATAGTATTGGAATACAACAGTTCTTTAACTGACATCCATTTGAAAAGCGATTACAGTAACATCTTTTGAACGAAAGAAAGCGAAAGTCGATTGTTTTCGTCATGGTTTTATCTCACTTTCCACTCTAATACGTACGTCATTTCAGCAAAAAATATTAGTTCCGTGAATGTATTATATCAAGCACAGTATGAATAGAATATCATTGTAATATAACATTATTTTAACTGAAAACTATTAAAAAAAACGAGTAACATCTCTTGAACATCGGAAGGATAGATAAAGTCTTTTGTTTTCTTCATGTATTTTATCCTATTTTACATTGAAATACATCACGTTTCAGCAAAACTACTATTTATTTCCGAGAATATATTCATTCAGGCACAGTTAAGGTAATATATACATGTGATGTAACAGTTTTTTAACTAAAAAGATTCGAAAAACACGTGTACCGTCTAGCTGATACTCAACAGTTGGTGGTACGTCGTGCATCGTTGTAAACAATATGAGGTTGAGGTGGATTACCGGGTATTATATTAAGTGTGAAATATAGAAAAGGATTTTATTACCGGTATTTTTTGTAGATCAATGAGTACTGTGATACCGTATATGATATGATAAGTTAGCCTGTGCTAAGAACTTCAACATAGACTACTAAAAGCACGTTGTAAGTTAATTTAGCCTATTGTAAGTTGGTGAGCTTCATCTGCTGAAGGCAGATTTGGTCTTAAAAACTCGAACTACACAGGAGTATATACGGTATGCACTTTTTTACAATTTTACATTATATTTTTCATTGTTAAGTATTTGTATATGGGGGCCTGGAACGGATTACCCCTATAACGAACGAACGCTATTGCGAACGAGGTTCAAGAACCAATTAGATTCGTTATAGCATACCCCACTATGATAAAGGCACACCTTACTATTTACATGCAACACTGTTAACAAAGTAAGAAAAAGACTTGCATCACTATTTACATACAACATTGTCTGATAAGAATGAGAATAAAGATTTCACCATTTACACTGTTTACAAATGCATTTTTAATTTTGCCTATAAGATAAAAGTAAACTGCACACGATTGCCAGAAAGTGTACCTACTTTAACTGTGACATATATATCCCACTTCCATTCTTCTGAGATGCAACTTAGCAAATCTCTTCATAACTGCATCCACATCTACCTCTCTGTTATAGTGGACGTGAAGTAGTGCCAGTCCTGTGAGTCTGTTCTCCAACATGGTGCTGCGGGTGTAAGTTTTCAGGCTTTTTAGCGCAGATACGCATCTCTCACATTCTGATGTGGTGACGGGAAGGACGCATAACACTTGCATTGCCTTGTAAATGTTACTATACATAATGGGATCACACTCAGATAAGGTTTCAGCAACTGTTGCTAGGAGAGGTTCACTCTCGGGACCATTTGATTCCATTTCTCGTCCCACAGTCAAAGTTCAGCTTCCAGCGTCTGGTAGTTGGGAAGTACTTCTTCGTATATTTTACAGAATAGCCTGAAAGAAGTTTTCCAGGCAGGAATTTTTTTCACCATCTCAGGCATGGCTGCCCATCTCTGGACAACATCCTGTTGGTCATCATCAAAGCGGCTTTCAAGCTCCTGGCTCAAGTGGTCCAAAAATGGCATTGTGCATATTCAAAATATTCCTGGTCTTACAAGGAATCCAGCAATGTCAATTATATTATCCTAACTTTAGTCTGAGGTATTATTTATTACTATACCTTAAAATCTAGTGTTTTCACCCAAACATTTCTCAGAGAGGGAGGAGCCAGCGAGCGTTGGAAGGGGGGGGGGGGTGAATTGATTCCATTATTTGAATGGACATTAACCTGGCGACTGTATTTCTCTTAAATATTAATTGTGTGTGCATACCATCATAAAATTAAGAAGTTTATTTTACTACAATTAAGTATTGTGTCGGAAAAAGTGGAGTTTGGGAGTCGGCCCAGTCTCTATTTCAATTAATCCCATATGTTCTCTTATTCCATTTACGTGTTTTTCGTTTTACGCGTACCTCCGCGTAAATTGCGTAAATCGGGGTATTACTGGATAGGAAAATATTCAGACAATAAGATAATCACACTTAAAGAATATGGTTGCACAACAAAATATTCACACATTGTAAAATGCAACCACATAACAAAAAATCCACCCCCATCAAAATATCTTCACATCACTAAAACTGGTCTGATTTTGAAAAAACCCAGAAACATTATCTGACAAATGCTTCTGTTAAGGTTAAAATCATTCTGTTATATAATATACTGTATATGCCATGCAATCAGGTTGATGTATTCAGTTTAATCAGCCATCTCCTCTCATTGATGTAGTATTTATATTACGGTTATGCTACAACTGAGTAATACAGACCCTTTGGTGCCTCATGTTTTCATATATTTCATTTTTTGAGTTAGATCATCTCTCCTACTAATTTCAGATAAATTTTCTATTTTTTGGTACGAACAGTGTACAGCTCTTGTGAGACTGGGAGAGAAGTGGAGTGTGAAGTATGTTCTCACATATCGATCTGTATATTTTTTCATAGATGTGTCTCTTCTTTAATAAGGTAATTTTAGGGGATATATCATCTCATGATTGTTTTTCAACTCCATGTGTTTTGCTCATCCCACTCTCAAGAACATCATAATAGTAATTTGTATAGGTATTCCCTTTATTCTATAATTTAATGTACCTGTATATGATAATGTATATTGTATATAGTGTTGAGAGAATTGGCCCTGGAATAGATTAATATTTATGTAAATCCAATAAACCATAATTTGTATAAAAGACCAGAAATATGAGTTTCTTATCCTTCTTTACAGAAATTTAACATACAGGTATGAGATCTCTGATGACCAAAGAGCCTTACTCGATGAAAATATGCAGTCTGTTAATGGAAGTATTTATCAAGTAGCAGCAGGTGGCGGAATAGCTTTCACTCCATCTACCATTCAGGTAAGATTCTAATAAGGATTGTTGGTAAACAGTATCCACCAAAGTTGAAGTAACTGTAAGTATCCAGCAAAATGTCAGGTACAGCATCTGACATGGAAGAGCTGTACTTATGTGCATTTATGCTAAGTATCGTGTATTTATCACATGAAGCACATTGCATGTCAACAGATAATACTAAACTTTCCATAATATGCACATTGTCAGCAGAACAAATCCAATAAGCAGCAAAATACTGGGACCAAAAAATTCACTTTATTTTTTTATTTATTCTATTTTTTTATGGGGATTAGCCCACCCAGGCACAGGTCACCGACACACATTGGGGGGGGGGAAAATGTAATAATAATACAGGGCTGCCTAACTTATCGCAAAGGTTACGGGCATGAAACTCATTGCGAATATCGAAATTGCGAATAGCAGAGCAATTTCACCCATAAGAAATAATGTAAATAGGGGGGATACGGGCATCACAGTGGTCACGGCCGTCAGATTTTCACACTTGTTTTACTCAATACATTTAGAACATAAAATAAATAAAGAAACAAGGGCATAATATCAAATAAACATCAATAACAAACACTTTGAGTTTATTAGGCGTACAGTGGTTCCTCGGTTAACGAACGCCTCGGTTAACGAAATTTCTGTTAACGAATTACCTTCCATAAGAATCTTCAATTCGGTTAACAAAAAAAAATTTGAGTAATGAAATCCTTACGAAAATCACGTTTTGTTTTGAACATCAGTTGATAAGCTAAGGAGGTACTCAGCCAATTCAGTGATCTCTTCTATGTTTACATTCAGATTAATTACTCTCTTATAAGAATTCCAGCAATGCAAATTAAATTCACCCCGGTCACTTTTATTAAATTTTATAAGCAAAAAACAAAAACTCAATCTATAGGACATAAATGAACAATTATATGCTTCACACCACAGGCGCCAACTGTCAAACATGTCACTGTCACCCCTCCCTCTCACCTTCCCGAGAAACGTTTGGGGAAAAGCACTAGGCTTACAGGTTTAATCATAAATAACATCTTCTTTCAGGACGCTCATTCGTGTCAGTATCCAGAAGGGCCCTGACATTCCATGCAGCGATCATAATAGGTTGTATAGTTTGTTTTTGTTTTGATCTGAGACTATAATTATGTTTTCGACTGCATAAGGATGACCTTACTGGGTGTGGTTTCCCAGTCAGGTTGGTTTCTTAGGCAGGCTATTCTTAGGGCACCTTTCCTAGCCCCCTCCCCACGTGGGGTTAGCAGAATGGCTCCTCAAAAGGGCTGCTCAGCCGCACAGACAGGACCGTATTGCACTGCTGCCTAGATCCCAGTGTATAAACGACCGTGTTATCTGTGCTGCCGATGTGCAGAGTTGTAACTAAGAGACTCCCAGTGGTCATCTTTGCCTGTCTCCATCGCCACAGGACTTTTGGGGTATAAGGGTTTGATGATGATGAGAGGTATGATGAGCTGGTTGATGGCTACACGTGAGTTGATTTATGTGGTGAGGCAGAAGCACAGACTGCAACCACACCTCTTGGCTCTCCCTTTTCCTGATTCAGTGGTGCAAGTGTTGCAATGACTGGGGAGAGGGAGAGTTGCAGTGGACTGCCGAGAGCCCAGTTTGATGGGTTTCACCTTAGTAGCCTGTCCATCATGGATTGCCTTCTTCCACTGGTGTAGTCTTTGGGTTCCCATGTTGGTCACCTCTTCTGCTTATACTGCCGTTGGGGTCTCATTGGAGCTCTGTAAGCATGTCTGCCTGATGTGGGCTCCACTGCAGATTTCTCATTTGGGGTTTACTCCCTTAGCCTTATACCTACCAAGGTTAATCCGAAAGGCAGTGGGGCAATGGTTGGTAGGCGCCAGGATGTGTTCACATGCCAGTGGGCTTCTCCGAGGTCCCCTGTTGGTTTAGCTTGGGCCTATAAGGCACCCAGTTGTCATGTGTTACCACAAGGAGGCACAACAGGTGTCTGGATGGTGAAGAGGCTGTGTACTGGCAGGGGATGACTTATGCAAGTTGCTTCCCTGTTCGCCACAGGGGCTAACCAGCGGAGGTAGCTGAAAATGATAGGAAATAAGCAGTGCTTGCACTTTAACACTAACATAATGCTGCCACACTAGATGCATCGCACCACCTTGTGCAAACACCCACTCACACACAACATGGGAGTTAGGACAGTAAGTATAAGGAGTGACGGTCTTATTGTATGACAAATATGCGTGTGTGTGTGTGACTGCGTGGTAGTGGGTTAATTATCAGCAGTTCATGAGCGCTTGGCAACACTCCCTTCTACTACATTTCTCCAATTACCCACACCTTTCTGCTTTCTCACTACATATTTTAAAATGTTATGTAACGTAATGTTGAAGGAATGCAAGTTTGCTCATTTCTACTTATACTTATCATAATCTCCCTAAAAATAATTTAGTATTTGTGTTTACTCAAGACATCTTCAGGGTCTCTGAGATCCATTAAGCTCCCACCCAAGAAAGGGTGACCTGACATTCCATCAGAAGGTCAGTAATATGAGACCACTAATCCCCCACCCTACCTTCACCTGACATTACCTCAGGTCAGGTCAGTTATGTGAGAGACACTGATCCACTACAGCTCCATGGGAGTGGAAAATACAAGTCTTTGTTGTAACACACAGCTTCATTCATACCCGTATCATATAGGTTTTTAATTTTTTAATATATTTATGTAACCAAACTTTTAGATAAACTATTCTGGATTATTATAGTAAAGAAATGGAGTTTCTAACTTAACTAGAACTGCATACGGACTCAGGTAATTTAAACTTGAGGAAAACATCCCCACACCCTGAAAAGTTCTGGGGAAGTGGACTAGTGTCTGTCTGTGCAAGATATCTAGTCTAGACACTCGGTAAACTATTTGCAGTAACAGGAAAAGGTTCTGGGCATAACGAATTTTTCGGGTTTGAGAAAGTTGTTTGGTTAGCCGGAAATTTCTCAATCCCAGAAGTGCTCTGCACCAATTGTTCTGGCTAACAGGGATATCACTTTATACTGTATGGACTTTTGGGAATGGAATCCATGTGATTACTGAGGAGCTACTTTATAAATAAATGTCTGTTGTAACTTTTTTAAATTCATGTTTCACTTATCACTGCAATAATGCCACATATACAGATTGTCCACCAAAGGGTGGGATATAACTCTTGTAGGCCATAATCCATGCTGTCACACCTTAGTAATATATTATTGAATGTTCTTTTAAGCATGTGATTCACACTGTATGTAAGTTCATAAAATTTAAATTTAAGAATAAAAACACTAAATCACCTGATAATGAATGATGGAAATCTACAGTATGAGATAGCTTCTGTTCACCTAGTATTATATTTTTATTTCTTATTATTGCAGGGTTTCTCTAATAGCAGATATGATCCTGAAGAAGGAACAGATATATTTGGTGCAACAGGAGGACATGGTGCTGGAGAAGGAACAGAAATATTCAGTGCAACAGGAGGACATGGTGCTGGAGAAGGAACAGAAATATTTGTTGCATCAGGAGAACATGATGCTGGAGAAGGAACAGAAATATTCAGTGCAACAGGTGGTACTGGAATAGTCGGGGTCCCAATTTCACATGCATTGAATAGTTCTGAAGGTAATGAACTTATATTCTCTACTTCTGTATTCAGAAGCTTATACAGTACAGTAAAGCCTCGAATAACGACTGTAATGTGTCCTCCAATATTGCAGTGTAAGGCGAATCATCGTATCACGAATCATTAATTACCATTAAAATAAAGCAATAATAATGAGATGCATTCCCAAGTGTGACCTTTTCATATCTTTTGTGTGGCTTTTTACCATCTTTTCCCCCGAAAACGATACAATTAATGAAAATTGCAAACTCTATTCTTTTAATAATGTTTTTGAATGCACCTTATACAATATAAATGAATAATAATATGGTCACAAGTGGAGATGGGACGCCATTGTTTTCGTTTGTGTTTACAGCCGGAAGTCCGGGATGATAGTTCTTCATGAGAAAATGAAGAAAATAAGACCCTGGTTGTAGCTGTAGTAAAATTAATGTAAAAAATGAATATACAGCTCCTCCCCGACTTACGGCGGGGTTAGGGACCCAAATCCAGGTCGTAAGTCGAAAATGCTTAAATAATACATAGAAAATCTAAAATGGGTGTCTCTTTTTCTTCTCAGCACCACAAAACTCTCACTTTTAAGCTTGCCATCCATTTTAAAGTAAATTTCAAACGAAAATTTTGTCTGTGTACTGACGTTGGGACTCGAAAATACGTAATTTGGCAAAATTTAGGTACGACAATGAGGCAGGTCGTAAGTCGGGGAGGAGCTGTATATGTTTTAAGTAATGTTATTTAATGTTAATAAATGGAACAATAGAAGTAGCTAACCACTAATGGCAAAGAAAAAAGAAAGAGATGGATTGGGAACGGCAACATATACGTGCTCATTTAAGGATACCTCGTCATTTATCTTTTTTTTAAGAATATGTACAAAAGATTCAAAATAGTCTATTACTGAATTATGTACAAAAGATTCTTAATTGTTTATTACTGAATATGTATTGGATTGAATTAATCTTTATATATGCGAAATGAACAATACAATTCATTAATAATACGTAGAATATTAAAACACACAAGAGGATAAGAGATGGCATTGTTGTCAGTGTTTACACCCATTATGTCAGTTATCCACCTGAAACTGAAGAAAATAAGACCTTGGTTGTTATTGTAGTTAAATTAATGTAAAAAATATGTTCAGTGAACCCTCACTTTACGCGGTTAATTCAACCCACAGGGTACCGCGGAAAGTGAGAAACGCGTAAAGTGAACAACATAACATATGGGATTAATTGAAATAGAGACCGGGCCGACCCCCAAACTCCACTTTTTCAGACACAATACCTACGTTGTAGTAAAAATAACTTCTTAATTTTATGATGGTATGCACACACAATTTATGATTAAGAGAAATATCAATAATATTAGGTTTTTTAACACTTACATTAGTAGAAAAGATGGCTGGGCACACGGGGATGGGGGGTTGGTTCAGAGGCAGAGGGCAGATTATTGGCCCTCACCTGTATCACTTGTATCAATTGTATCACTATCCACCACAGAGGCTTGCAGGGCCTCTTTGTCAAACCCCTCAAAGTCCATATAAGTCCATATCCTCACTATAATTATCACTATCACTGACTTGGGCCAGCTGTGGTGGGTGGCGGGTGAAGAACTCGGTAATGTTTTGATGACTGGGCGACCTTGTGCGCACCCTGCTCGCGCCGCTTACACAACATGGCGGATGGCGGGAGGTGTGGATCCAAAAATGGCGCGGCTCGCCAGCCGCTCTCCGCGTAAAGGGGTACACGCACCGGGGAATGTGAGCATTCCTGTTTCAGCAGGGTACCTCGTAAACGTGGAAACGCGGAATGTGGGACCGCGTAAAGCGAGGGTTGACTGTATGTTTTAATTAATGTTATTTAATGTACAGTAGAAGTAACCACTAACATTAAAGAAAAAGTGAGAATTATAATGGAACACCAATGTGTACGTGCGCATTCAAGGAAACATAGTAATTTATCTTAAGAATATGTACAAAAGATTCATTATTGTTTATTACTGAATATGTTTTTGATTGAATTAATGTTTATATATGTGAAATGAACAATGCAATTCATTAATAATACGTAGAATATTAAAACACACATGAGGAGACAAGACGGCATTGTTTTCGTGAGTGATGATGGTTTTACATGAGAAACTGTAGAAAATAAGACCCTGGTGTAGCTGTAGTGAACCTAATTTAAAAAAATTTAATACCTGTATGTATGTTTTAAGTAATGTTATTTAATATTAGTAAATGGAACACTAGGAGTAGCTAACCACTAATGGTAAAGAAATAAAGCAAGACGATTGGGAACGCCAACGTATGAACAGTAAGTGCGTACATGTGAAAACATATCATCATTTCTCTACATATGAGTATGAAAGCAACACTTATTTACTGTTCATATATGTTTTAAATAATATTTACGAATGTAAAACAAAAATTAAACTCACCAATGGTGTAAAGGCTAAAACATAAGGACAGCCAATGAATATTGTGCGAGTTTTTACTTAGATGACGAAGTCATCAGGTTCAACTCTGGCTGAAGCTGTAGGCTCAACTCTGGCTGATGCTGTAGCTTTCCATAAAGCTGTTGCTGAAATTATTACTGAACCTGAAGTTGATGCTGAATCTGATGATGTATCTGAAGTTGATGGTTTAGGCCTTCGAATAATAAAGCTGTCGAAAGAACCTTGCACAGCAGTATTCTTTTCTCATTATACATCTTTATGTAGGTCATTTGCATTTATTTAAATTTTAATGCTTTGTTCTGTTAATGGATCAACTTTAGAAAATATGTTCATTGCTTGCTCCATATAATATCCACAGACTTCGCATCTTTTTCATATCGTTTTAACATATCTAGTTTCTTGGCTAAGCTTATACACTTTTTATTAGGTTTTTAAACAACACTACCATCACTTGCTCGCTTGATCATGTTGAATAGGGATGCAAAAATGCTGTAAGAAACCTGAGAAACCTTTTCTCCTGTTCCTGTTCCAGATGCATGAAAACAAAGGGACCACCAAGCTTCTTCTGTTGTTTACCACTCTTTAGCCAGGCAGCTTCTTTGCACCAGGTGCTCTTCATTTTAATACAGTAATTTTTTTTTTTATAATACATATCAGGATTTAATTATTATTTATATGAAAATGTAATTTTATTTTATTTGTATTATATTTTGGTCGTAAATACGAATGAAATAAGGACGTACGTACATTGAATTGGGTCCTAAATTAACTGGGGTCTTAAATATGAAAAGTTGTTGGTCGAACCGTTGTTATCGGAGGCTTTACTGTACTTAGCTTCCACTAGATGTTTTTTTTACTCATTTTACACATTTCTTTTTGCTGTTCTACCCATTCACTATGCCAGAGGGGTTGTATTTAAGAAAATGGTATAATCATTTCAAAAAGTCTGTGTCGTCGGCAGTCAAAATGAACTGCTTGAGTGAACCCTGTGAGTCCTCGGGTTCAGTTTTAATTTTCAGCCCAAAGATGCTGCTGCACGAGTTAAATAACATGGCACTTAATGCAGTTGTCGGGAATTTCCCTATGGGTGAAGCTGTTCATGCCTGGCGACTTTATACACAAATCAATGTGAGTGCAAGCTTTAATTATACTAAAAACATATTATGAGACAATACTGTAGAAAATATTGTTTGTCTAGAGAAATATTACCAAACTCATCACAACCAATGAAGTTTTTGCATACATTAAACCCTCAAAGATTCGGACCCGGTAAATCCGGATTTCGGAAGATTTAGACAACAAATTTGGGGGTTCTGGGCTAAGAAGCCTCTCTAAGAAGCATTCCCAAAACAGAGTGAAGGTAGTTTTAGGCTTAAAGTGTTTATCTTATAAAATGTCACAAACTAAAATTAGCAGAATATAACTTGCATTACTGGAATCCTTGCAGGACAGCAAAAAATTTGAATATAGACATTACATATTTTGCAAAAAAAATAATAATTTTTAGTCCTTTAGTGTAGTATACCTGAGTACAAATGAATACAGTAATAGTATGTTGCTCAAAATTATGGCTTTTTCACAGGAAAAAATCTGTGTAACTAACCCCAATAGTCAGGATAATATGTACTGTAGTTTTGGTGTTTTTATATCATTATTTATCGTTTTTATGCATTTAGTACATTAGTCGGAAGATTCGGACAATCAGCTTTTCCGGACAGGTGTTCCCCCCCCTTTTAGTCCGGGTCTTCGAGGGTGAACTGTACCAGGAAAGCTCGGATACCCGGATGTGTCTACAAGAGCATGCAATAATTAATGCTGTATAAATATTTGGTTTATAGGCTTGACTCACAGGGAAGGGGAAAAAACTGTGGATGAGGTGGCCTGTGAGATGGCATATTGTCATTTTTACATGTAATGAAAGTAAAATTTTTGGAAAATCATTACATTACTGTACTCTTATGTGATGCAGAAAGAAAGAAAATATAATATAAAACTATAAAATAAAAAACTGAAGAGCATGGGTGTGTATGTGTGTCAAGTGAATGTATGAGGAGGCAGTGGGAATAACTGCATCTTCAACTCGCAATCCAGCCGTGCTCTCCCTCCCCCGATGTGACATCATGTGATACACATATCTCTGAGTCAGCCTGGCCTCAGTGTGGAAGAAGCTAATTTTTGTAAATAAAATAGATACTATTGTATTTTATGATATGATATGTATCAATTTTATTGTTCATCATAGCAATTTTTTTTTTTTTTTACATTCTAAAAGGTATACCAGTACCTCTGAGTTATTATGGTAGTTGGTTCATCTACCTGTAGATGGTATTGGTTTATCAAAACAAGCAGTAACCAAGTGGTAAGCAGGATTGTGTAATTATGTTTTTAATTAATTTAAAATAAAAGTACAGTAATGAGATTAAGTAAGCCATGTGTACTCAGCAGGGGAGGTGGTATGGGTTGTGTGCCATTGCCGACTGACACTTCACAACAGTTGCTAAGGGTCTGTCGGTAAAGGCAGCGCATCCCAGCTGAGCTGTGATGCAGTGTGTGCACTACTGTATATTGTACAGTATAATTTTAGCTTTTTTTGCTTCTAATATTTTTCCTAAATACTCTATGCTGAAATCAACTTTACAATCAGTGACAAAGAGGATAAAGTAAACTTACAGCAGAGGGGGTTGTGTGGTACCATTTAAGCTGAAATAGGTCTAACCAGCCAAGTTGCCAGATGCACTATTGACAAACAACCCACTGCTTCCACACTTACGATCACCTCCCACACAGAATACACACGTCTGTGAGTCTACTGAGCTGGATGATTGCCTGATCTATGTCGTGAGCTGGATGCATGGGAGTTATGCATGTGGATAAACTTATACAGTATACTGTACCAATAAATGTGAAGAATAAAACAAAATAATAAAAGAAAAATACTGTACTGTGTTGCCATCTAGCAGGAGACTGTGAAAAAGCAAAGCAGAGCAGTGAGTGAGGAAATGCCACCTTTAGCTCTATCCCTCCCACACTCAGCACCTGCTTCTACACACACATAATGATTAATTCCCTTTACATTTTCACCTATGATAATTATTTTAGATTTTTTGGGGGGCACATACTGTGTGTGGAGCACATTTTAAAATGAAAAAGGCCTAAAACCAGCCAAGTCGCCAAATGCGCTGTTTATAGGTATATTTGGGTAAACCCCGCATAAGGTGCAACACGACTGTGCATCACTTTATACCTTCATTATTTCTTGTGATTCTAATATGAACTTTAGAACATTGTTTTGATTAATCTTTTATTATTTAGGACCTTGTCCTGAGCACTGAACAGGAAATTACTGTACTGTATTGTGAAAAAAAAATTGGATTTATTTTATATGGAACTGGTTGCTCACTAATTATTTTGGTATAGAGAGGTAATAGTGTATGGTATATAGAAAAATGGTCCCTGATTTATCTATTTCATGATTGTGAAATTTGTGATAGAGTAGTGGCTGTACTGTAAGTGATTCTTTGAGCATTTGTTTATTTCTTGAAATTTTTACAGAGAGTTTCGAACCAGCACCCAACACTGACCCTCCAGCTATTGCTTCACCCACAACTTATGCTCCTCAGTCAGCTGTAATGAATTTTACACCAAGCTTTAATCCAAGGTAAGTTGGCCAAATGATCAAAGAATTTATGTATAGTACAATAAAATCCTTTATTGAGATGATATTAAAAGGTGCCGCATTTATTAAATAATACAATACCAATTCCTCCATTAACGTCGTTTCAGACACCACTGTTTCGCTATAACTTTGTTGAAAAAAAAGAATTAAAATGGTAAATGTACAATTTTTTTTTTTACAAATTCAGTACAAAGTTGCTCAGTGTTTGGGTCAGCTGTGATAACAGCTGGCTGTGTAAGTGACCAGCGTCAGTCACGGTGTGGGTGGTATACAGTATTTGTTAGGTGGTTGGTTGATGCTCTCCCAACATTTACTTAGAAACCAATTATAATTTGATTTGAACCCTGGAACATTGAGTGATAAATGTACATTATGAACCACTCCAACTTGTGGTCCCATAAAGAAGAGAAAAAGTGTTTCATTAGAAGTTAAATTAGATGTGGTAAAGAGATTTGAAGAAAGAAAACGAGCTATAGACATAGGAAGAGTTCTCAGTCTGCAGCCTACAACTGTATGAGCAATTCTTGGGAATGCAGAAAAAATCAAATCATGTGCTAAAAGTGTTACTCTACTATCTGCTTTGAAGTTAACTTGTAACAGAAGTGGCATTATGGAAAATATGGGAAGAATGCTGAACATGCGGATTGAGGGTCAGCATCAATGAAACTTTCAATGTCCGTTGCTCTCCATACAGGTAAAAGTTTTAAGTTTATTTGAAACTTTAAAACAAGAAAAATGTGATAGTGCTGAAAGTGAAACATTTGTGGCAAGTCGTGGGTGGTATGAACGATTTAAGAAGCATTTAAACTTACACAGCATACAGTCATTTCTGCTACAATGTGTGTTTTGTCAACACGAATTGGTTGGAACGCGATTGATGAATAGGGGAACACTGTTTGTATACGAATGTTGGCGAGAGCGCGATTCCATCCTCAACATTTTAAGTGTAGCGTGATGCGGTGGGTGTAACAGCACCATTTGTATTATACTGTATAAATATTCACCCAAATGTATAATATTTAAATGTATAATACCAAATTATTCACTTAAGTTATTCAACCAGACTCTGTAATTGTTCATGTCACACATGCTGATGTCTGTAACTTCATCAGAGGTTGAGAGAGGTCAAGCTGATTTTGCAAATATCTCGCCTGCTCATCCTTGAGCCTCACGCCTGAGCAGGAGAGAGCGAGCAGACTCATATCACTTGTTATCCAGTGAACACCTCACTTGAATGTTCTATAACAAGTGCACTAAGACACTTCCCTTTGCAGAGAAGGTACAATCTACTCTCAACTGAACTCAGTACCTGTGTAACTATAACTTTCTTCAATAAAGAAAAATCAGCAAAGTGTTTACTTCAGCCCAGCCACTTATTAGTTGCAGAACTAATATACAGCATAAGCTTAGCCGAGAAACTAAATGTGTTAAAACGATATGAAAAAGGTGAGAAGTCTGTGGATATTATATGGAGCAAGCAATGAACATATTATTTTCTGAAGTGGATCCATTAATAGAACGAAGCATTAAAATTAACAGGGACGTGAAAAACACATATTACCTCTACATAAAGATGCATAATGAGAAAAGAAAGCAGCTGTGCAAGGTTCTTTCGCGAGCTTAATTATTTGAACAGGCCTAAACCATCAACTTCAACTACACCATCAAATTCTACATCAGCAGCAGTATTGTAGGACAAAGTTGGGGCAACTGTCACACCCTAACTTACATACGATGTCTTTCCCAATCTATTTCGTTTTTTCATTACCATTAATGGTTAGCTACTTCTTTTGCTCCATTTATTAACATTAAATAATATTACAGTACTTTATACATACATATTATTTTTTTGCATTAATTTTACTACAGCAACAACCAGGGACTTGTTTCTTCAGTTTCTTATGTAGAAGTGGAACCATCGTCATTCATCACTGGTGTTGTAAACATGAACGAAAACAATGACGTCTCATCTCCTCTTGTGTGTGTTAATATTCTACGTATTATTAATTAAATGCATTGTTCATTTCGCATATACTGTACAGTAAGTCCTCGCTTAACGTTGTTTCGGTACTATGTTGCTGAACTTAAAAGACCAAATATTCGTTTATCGTCCCGGTGATCCGATACTACGTCATTTTGCGTCGTCACGGCCTACTTTCTACGGCTCATCACCCGCTCTTTCTGGCCGCTCTCTCGGCTTGGTGCGCTGCCCTCACTCTCGGAACGTTGCAGCATCCCCAAGCAACGCGAAGCCAGTCTCTGTTACGACTTCACATCATTCGTGTGTACTTAAGTGCTTTTGCTCTAAAACTGTACTCTAACCATTCGAAATGGCTTCCAAGCACCCATCAAGTGCTACTGATGCTAGTGTAGTGAAGAGGCAACGTAAAACCATTACCCTTGCTACGAAAATGGATGTATTAACCTGATTTGAAAAGGGTGAATGTGCTGTGGACATAGGGGCTGTGCTTGGTCTAACCTTCACAACAGTGCGTACTATCCGGACCAACGCTGACAAGATTAAGTTAAGTGCTGGAAGTGATTCTTCTCTGAGTGCTACTAAGACGACTCGTACTAGAAGCACTGTGATAGAAAAGGTGAAAAAGATGCTGGCAATGTGGATGGGGGACTGGAATCAATGCAATGCACCTGTGACCCTTATGGTTATCTAGCATAAGGCCAGATCCTTGTTTTATGACTTAAAGGAAGAAGAGGGTGAAGGATTGAAGGAAGAGACCTTCGGCCAGCTGAGGTTGGTTTTAACGATTTAAGCGTTGGTATAGCTTCCACAACATAAAGATGACTGGTGAAGCTGCTAGTTCAGATACGGTTGCTGCCGAGACATTCCCGCCAACAACCGAGGAGGAGCAAACAGCAGCGGAGGAACCCCAGTCAGAGGAGAAGGCAGCCGCAGAGTCTCAGTGACTCACCACCCTCCTTCGCTCCACTACCCACCACACACTCGCTCTACCACCTCCGCCCATCAGTGAGAACCAATACAAACTTAGTACTGTACAGTAGTTCTATATACAAACTTGGTACTGTAGTTCTATATACTATTTTCTATAGAAATGACAATGATTTTCTGTATATGTAACTTTTTCATGGGGCAAAGGGAGGCTCAGGAACGTAATTCCCGTATTTTATCTATTTCTTATGAGGAAAATTGATCCGCTTAACATTGTTACGCATAACATTGCGTTTTCAGGAACGTAACTCCAACGTTAAGCGAGGACGCCCTGTATAAACATTAATTCAATCAAATACATATTCAGTAATAAACAATAATGAATCTTTTGTACATATTCTTAAGATAAATGACACAGTTTCCTTGAGGGCTCAAATAAACATTGCCGTTCCACTATCACTCTCTTTTTCTTTAACATCAATGTTTACTTTTACTGTACATTAGATAACATTAATTTAAACATACATATTTTTTACATTAATTTTACAACAGCAACACCAGGGTCTTATTTTCTTGTTTCAGGTGGGTAACTGACATTATGGGTGTAAACACGACAACAACAGTACCGTCTTAACTCCTCTTGTGTGAGATTATTATTCATTTATATTGTATAAGGTGCATTCATGAACATTATTTAAAGAATATTGTTTTTATTTTTCATTAATTGTATTGTTTGGGGGGGAAAAGAGGGTAAAAATCCACACAAAAGTTAAGAAATGGTGATTAATGTTTCACGATATGATGATTCACCTTACAGTACACTGCAATATTGGAGGACACATTACCGTCGTTATTTTAGGCTTTACTGTCTTCACAGTGGCCTTTAGGAATGCATCCCTTGCAATAACTGGGGTGTTCCTGTAATTATGTCATTCACATAAATAGTATGACCTGTAGCTGAACTATCATGGAGTATCTTATTACCACAGCTAGTTCTGCCAGTGGTTTTCCATGTGTTATGAAATCTTAAGAGACGCTGCACTTGACATAAAATGAGATTTTATGTTTAATCCTTTTAACATTGTTAGGACACATTAAAATGGCCTTTCATTATAAAATGAGGTGCCTCTTTATATGTAAACATTTCTTGGAAAATTCTTGGGTGTACTGTGACACCATTTTACTTTATATTTGTAGATTTGTATGGTGGTGGAAGCAGGTTGCAGTTTATGAAGCTAAAAAACCTGAAGCTAAGGTGGCAGAAATTGGCTTCCAGAACAACCTGGTTATCATGGCATTGTTTTCTGCTCTACCAGTAATGGAGCTCATTCGGTTCTACTTAGGGGTAAGTATAGAAACTTGTGGTTAATATCCCACAATATTTTGCTCGATAATTTTAATAATTTATTGGGAAGATGATTCCTGTACTGAAAGGGCTTTTATTTTTTTCCTTGTGTATACAGTAGGTACTGTATTTTTCGGCTTGAAAGACGCACTTTTTATTACAAAAATATACCTTGAAAATTACCATGCGTCTTCAAGGACGCACCATAACTTTATGATGGTATGCACACACACATAATATAGAAGGGAACAATTAATAAGAGAATAATATACTGTAGGTTAGGTTAGAAAAAACAAGGTTAGGTTTAACACTTACGTTAGTAGAAGAGATGGGGCGGTGTACGGGAATGGAGGCTGGTTCCAAGGCAGAGGGCAGGCTACTGGCCCTCAGGTGAGTCATCATCACTGTCATCCACACTTATTGGTGCCTCCCTGACAAATCTCTCAAAGTCACCATCACTGTCTGTGTCACTATCACTGGCTTGGGCTGGCTGTGGTGGGTTGAGGGCGAAGAACTCGGTAATGCTTTGCTGACAGCTGGTGTTGATGTTGTCATGATACACCTTGATATAGGGCTCCATAGTCTGCAACAGCTGGGTAGTGAAGACTTCATACTGGTTATCGTCAGGGTCGTCGGAAAGGAGGAACTTGAGTTTCTCAACACACTCGATGGCACCCCTTACATTACTATGCGATAACCCGCTTTCTTCTTGGGATGACGCACCACCTGCCTCTTCACTGACGTCATCATCTTCTAACATCTCGTCGGCAGTCACATCAGGATCCCTTATCACCTCCAGGATGTCGTCGTTGGTGGTCTCGGAGAAGCCAGCAGCTGTAACACTCTGCGCAGCTTCTCTGGCAAGGTCCACTGCTACTGCTACTGCAACAGTCTGAACCTCACCAGTCACAGATTGACTCTGCCTCCCACCTGGAATACCTTGCAACACATGTCTCCATGCGTGATGAACCGTTGCTACACACAGCTGATCCCATGCCTCCACCAAGAAGTCCACAGCTTTCTTGACGTTGAATTTTCTCCAAAAATGTTTCGCAAGTACTTCTTGCTCTGCCAACTGTTGTTCCTCGTCGTCTTCGCTCTTGCTATCGGTGTCACCCAGGTTACGCAACTCATCCTTGGTGTTGGTGTAGTCGTTCAGGAGCTTAAACTTCTTTGCGGAGAATGCAGCTTTCACATTACAGATCAATTCTTGGTCCATGGGCTGTATTAATGACGTAATGTTGGGAGGAAGGAAGACCACTTTTATGTTGGGGTGACGATCCACCAGTAGGGATGAGTGTCCTGGTGCGTTGTCAAGCAGCAACAAAATCTTGAATGGAACATTCTGTTGCTCACAGAATTTCTTCATGTCGGGAACGAAACAGTCACCAACCAGGAGAGGGACAGAGTAGAGAACGTCCATGCCTTACGTGCAGTAATCCAGTGGATATTTAGCTTGGTCATGTCCATGCTCTTGTAGGCGTGCGGATTGCGTGCTGTGTGGATCACCGATAACTTGAGCTTACAGGTACCGGAGGCATTGGTGGTAAACAGGACGGTGATGCGCTCCTTTTGCAACTTCTGACCCCGACACTTGCTGGCATTCTTCACAACTAAGGTCTTGGAAGGTAGCTTTTTCCAAAAAAGACCAGATTCGTCCATGTTAAACACCTGGTCGTCGGTGTACTGTCCTTCCTCCATAATCTCACGTCAAAACGGAGGAAAATCCCTAGCTGCAATACGGTCAGCACTAGCTTCTTCACCACCAATGTTAATGTTGGTGATCTTGTTCCTCTTCTTAAACCTCTGCAACCACCCAGAGGAAGCATTGAAGGGTTTGGGCTCTGCAATTCCCATCTTACGTGACACTGCAGCATACAGTTCACGTGTGTACTCCTTAACTGAGAGCGTGTCAACCACCATGTTCCGTCACGCCTGACGAATCAAGTAGCTCACAAGTAATTTCTCCGTCTTGAGAAGCACCTGGTTGTGGCAGTACTTGATCATAGAAGCACCTGTAGACTTTGTGATGTTCATGTGCTCTCTTATCTTGGCTGCATCCTTCTTAATTGTCCGGATCGTAGGTTCGTTAACACCATGCTGCCGCGCGAGATCAACCTGTCTTGTTCCTTTCTCCAACTCTTGGATGATCTTGTATTTAATTTCGTAGCTTAGGGAACGTCGTATCTTCCTTGGCTTAGGGTAGCTGGGTCCAGGTAATGCAAGGTTTCTTTGTGGTGGTCCGGTGGAAGCCATTCTTATGGAACAATAAATACCGATGTATACGGTGTAGCCTGAAGGGGTGTAACTGATGTGGGTAGGTCAAGGGGTTTGAACGCTCCCGTGACAGGGCATATCATAGTAGATTAAACCAATCACAGCTAGTGGGGGAGGGAGGTAAGGATGTTTGGCCCAATCACAGTCCGATACATCATATGACGTCACTGATAATGCATCAAAGACATACACTATTGTACAGTAACAATGGACCTAAGTGCAAACCTGTATTGCACATGTACTAAATGATTACGGTACTGAAATTGTTATGTCTATTGCAAGTATAGCTTGTTTGTACAGGTATTCAAATAAATTACTATCTTACAAGAATCCCACCAATGTAAATTATATTCACCCAGGTCGTTTGGGTGGCAAATTATGAGAAGAGCTTAGTCACTCTTAAGTAATGATAAATAAACACGCAGGCAGGCCTTCAGTGCAGGCAGGCCTTCAGCGCCAACTGTCAAATCTTATCTCAAATAAATAAACAAACAAACACCAGACATTCTGTCACCACACCTCCTGCTCCCCCCCCCCTACTCCCTCCCTCTTCCCACATGCTCCTGGTTACCTCCCTCCTTGTGTTCCCAGACAAAAGATTGGTGATTTCTTTGTGTTTATTTTATATAATATCTCAGACTAAAGTTAGGATAATATAATTGCATTGCTGAAATCCTTGCAAGACAGAGATTAATTTAAATATAAGCATCATATATTTTGCTCAAGATATAAACAATGTAGTACATTAGTGTACAATACTGTAGTACATTTATTATATAGTACATTTATAATATAAATTTTTTCAACTGTATTTTTGGGTAGATTTACATAAATTTCTTAATTTATTTTCATCCATTTACATGCACACACCATACTAAAATAAATGTAAAAGAAATAAATGACCTTAGTGCAAAGCTGGAGTGCACATGTACTAATTTGATTACGGTACTAAAATTGTTTTGTCTAGTGCGAATTACTGCATGTTTATATTCAAATAAATCAGTATCATACAAGAATCCCAGCAATGTTAATTATATTCTCCTAAGTCATATCACTGGCATTTTAAAATGAGAGAAGCTTAGGATTGTTAAATAAACACACAAAGACCTTCGGCTCAAACTTATCACCTCAACCCCCCACCTCCCCAACCCCTCGCTAGCTGGCTGGCTCCCTCCCTCCCTCCCTCCCTCCCAGCCAGGGTTTTAGGCTTACAGTTTTTATCTTATATAATATTTCAGACTAAAGTTAGGAGATTATAATTTGCATTGCTGGAATCCTTGCAAGACAGCCAATAATTTGAATATAACGTCATATATTTTGCTCAAGAGATAAAAATTGTTGTATATTAGTGTACAGTACTGTAGTACATTTTATAAAAAAGTTTTTCAACTGTATTTTTGGGTAGATTTACAGAGATTTCTTCATTTATTTCCATCCATTTACATGCACACACCTTACTAAAAGAAACGTAATAGAAATATATGACCTTAGTGCAAAGCTGGAGTGCACAT